CCAAGTTCTCCAGGAGTTCCGAATTCTCCGGGACCAAGACGAACCTTCTCGTATCCCACTGCGAGAGTTGGACCCACAGTTGAGCCACAAAGCGATGACGTCATCATGCTAGTCGTCGGCAGGGCCAGACTTGGATGGGTTGACAAGTAACGTATTGTTAATAAAGTGACTGACATAATTCTACTAGAAGTTACGAAAAACATTATTTGTACATTATATAATAAATAAATAAAGTACTTTACTTAGTGTTCTAAAGTTATTTTTTATTGAAATCATAACTTCTTATGGGAGGGTAAACCGCTTCGTTACGTAACGCGTTACGGCGCCAGTCTATGTGGCTTCCCTTTCTCTCACGCATACGGCAGTGGTAGGCAGGCTCCTTCTCTCTCACTCTAACAATAAATTTAAGTAGTAACCTAAGCTTTTTTTAAGTTAAACAATTTCGATATTAAATGGTTCAACTTAGATTAGTTTAAGTTATCACTTCTGTCGGGCGTCCCGAGACGCACACGTTTTGTTTTTCTTTTATAGAAGGTATTATCACCAGATGGTAAGTGACAACCATCGCTCAACTTAAGTTACAAATGCGTTGTATCCCTCTGAATCTCTCCTACAAATAAGTTTTCTATCTATCTATCTTTACTAGTTAGTAAAGATATATATAAAAATATATATAATAGATATATATAATTTTTTTAAATATATCTTTAGTAGTTTGCCCTCGGCTCCACGGCTGTATGTCGGTCATGGCCTATGTTCTTTATCAAGGATCAAACTATCTCCAAACCAAACTTCATTTAAATCGGTTTAGCGGTTTAAGCGTGAAGACAGAGGAACTCTGTCGCATTTATAATTTAAATATGTGTAATAATATATTTCACGAGTTTGTATTATAAGGAAATTTTATTATCCTACTGTCATAATCGTCTCGTTTGTTTGCCCTTTCTTCTCATAAGGCTCAACCCTTTGAAAACGGACGGTTGTAGATCGGACGGGCATTTAATAGATTTTTGATAGATATAATTTTGTTATAAATATTTTGCGAAATATTTGACAAAACAGAGATTGTTGCTATTGCGTGTGTTGATCTATGACTTTAGAGTGTGTAAACTAAGATTACAAGGCATTTTTTTTAAATTAAATAAAGATGTTTTGGGATGAGTATATACTGTATTACGAACGGCATTTGGATAACCCATTTATCGAGTAACGTTATTCACTCTATATGCTATATAAAATCATGTTAAAACCAATAGGAACGGAGCATAAATGAAAGATATTGCATAAACGGAAAAAATATTCCATTTGAGGGTCAGCTAGTATTAAATAATTTCAAACTACATTTCACCTACTTTTAAACTCACCCCTAAACGTCCTGGTTCCCACACTTTGCAGTAAGGGAATCACGCGATACCATGGCTCATAATTAGGTCATTTGAAATCGATATACTGCAGACTATTATACTCAGAATTATATGGAACATGGCGCTTATTTGTACAATAGAGGTTTTTGTTTGTTTTTAGGCGCACACATGTAGTACTATTGGATTACCGTAAATGGAATGGAATAATAATAATAATCTTACACATTACCCAAGAAGTCTGATCCCAAACTAGGCAGAGCCTGTACTATGGTATCCAGACTACTGATAAACATACTTAAATATATTTCTATGTATGTGTATTTAGAAATAGATAAAGTACACTCACTTATATGCGAAGGTACAGTAGTAGTGCGTATGCGACTGCTGTGCTGAGGTCTCGGGTTCGATTCCCGGGTCGGACCAAATATTTGTATGATCTGCAAATTTTTTTTCGGAGTTTAGTTTTCTATGTATGTATTTATAACAAAAAAGTATTCTATCAACCAGTCTAGCTTTCATAGTGCAAGCTATGCTTAGTTTGAAACTAGATGGCGTTGTGTTAGATATCCGAAAATATTATTATTATTACTGAAACACAGAACAAATAATCGTGCTCATCACACAATTATTTGTAATGGATGGAAAATGGAACTCACGACCTCTTAGCTTAGCAGCCAGGATCACTAACCAACAGGTCAGTCTAACGAGGAACTAAGGGAATATCACGCAACGATGATTAGGAGCGTAGCAGAGAACGTAAACTCATGTGACATTGTACAAAACGACTAGTATTAAATGGTTATATAATATGGGAACAGACAAAGTTTTTTTTTGTGTTCTCAAACTCGGCGGTCGACCCTTTTGAATATCTTTTATTTTTAAATATATTGGTCAGTATAACTTCCTCCAACCAGCCTCAAACGCCTTACCCTGGGGAGGACCCGGACCATGTGATTTCAAGGTCTCCCGGCGCTGCGGATTGATCCTGACCCTACCCTGGGAGAAACCACAAGCTTTCCCTTTTCCGTTTGTTCCCTGCACTTATTCTACAAATAAAACATTATGGTATTTTTTTTAAACCACAACTCCCGCTGTAGGAATATAACCCTGTGTCCCGGGGGACTTTACAAACATACATGAAACGGACACAGAACTCCCAGACTCAGGATAACAATCTGTGGATCACACAAAGTGTTGTCCCATGTGGGGATCGAACCCACAATACTTAGAAGCGGCGAGGGGACCGATTAAACCACTACGCCATCCGTGCAGTCATTGATTATGGAAAAATTATATAATTTCGTATACTATAGTCGTTTATAAATTGGAAGGTAAATATTTTTTAATCACGTACGAGTATTTATGTATATATATATTCCAATTTCAATAACACTTGTCATGCGAATACCTAGTAAATATTTTCAACGAATGTGAATTTAGAAGCCTGGCCTTAGAGCAATTCGTTTCAGAACCTGTGTTCTAATGACACGCAGGTGACCCTACACATCTGTATGCCTGGCAAAACGTAACCCATCAGACTTAACAGAGTTTAAAAGGCCTACGGAGATACAAAAAAAGATACAAATAAAAATCGCAAACATTTTTATTTCACTACAAAATTGGCACAACGTTAAAATTTATAAAATGCAACATTCTCACAACCATTTTAATATTATTTATATGTATTTTTTCTCACGTATTCAAAACACAGAAAGTATTGAACCGTAAAAAAAACATATCATTTACAGATCATAAATCAATTTAAGAAAACAGTACTTAAAAGGCCACAACCTACACACAAAACAAAAATAATATAAGATCAAAATGCTTTATTTCAAAGTTGAGTAAAAGTAACATTTATAAATGAAGTGACGTAGTCAACTTAGATTTAGCGGAAAAAATGCTCGAGCAAAGATAGCTTTAAGTAAGCATGGTTTAGTGGGGCGAGCATTTCTCGCTTATAACGATATATCCTATAAACTATATTTCCCAATTCTTTTTGTTAGAGCATTTATGTAAAATGAGGACTGAGTATTTAGCGGTGGGTGCAAAGTGACAACAATAACTAGACACATTTAGATAGATAGTTGTAGAATTAGAAGGGGTAAACAGGGGCGTATTAAACGACCACATTTTGTTGAATATAATTTTAGTTCCACATACGTGCTGGGTTAATATTGCCGACAACCGCGCACACGTATATTTCTAAATAAACTTACTTATATATTTCTAAATACATACATATTATGGATAAATTTCATGTTTTTTTTACTTTTTAAACGTTTATAAACGTTGATTGCTATCATTATAGTCATTACTTAAAAAAACAACTAATATCGTCAGTGTAAAAGATTTTTTTTAAGTTTTATTATCTCATCTCCTTTTATTATATTATATTATAGATATTGCTTTGTATAATCTTAGATGTAACTGTCCCTTACCATGCCGTGGCAACTTGTAAGTAAGACAACACTCAGCACATATTTGTAAAACATGTTTGTAAGCTATGTTTTGTAAGTTGTCCTACATACATAAATAAATAAAAATATCTTCTTATTTATTTATGTTCTTCTAATCTTAGTCACGTCAAAACTCTGCTCAAAAATAGACATACTCAAATTTTAAACTGTAAGATTATAAATTAGGAGAATGATGTAAGTGAGAAGAGTATTCCAAGGCAGAGTTGATAGTGAGACAGAGAATGAAGGAGTCAGTAATAAAGCCTGTTCCTTGTTTCTGCCTGGTTCTAATCTTATTAAACAACATTTTCTTATGAAAACCTACTTTGAAAATATGCCGACTTTTCAACTTTTCTTGTTTGTTGTGACAAATCAGGTTTCTTTTATTTACTGGCTTGTGTTGCTTCACTTAAATAGTAAAACATTTTACAAACAGTCTCATTATAAATATCACATTAAATTTAGAACAATTTTTGATCTTACATATAAAAAAAAAATTACAATTATGAGGTAAACATTTAAAATGTCATAAAAAACTCATCAATAACCATTAAAAATATAAATATGTTTGAAGGAAAAAGGAAAACCTTTCACTTACCCTAAACAGAGTGGTTGCTTTCTATCATTGTATGGTACACATCTGAATAATTATTGTAACATAAAATATAACAAACTTAAAACAATTATTGAAAAACTTGAAAAATTTGTGGTTTTACTACATCGATAGCAATTTTTTAAACACTCTAATATATATTTTAACTTAATCTTTCTTTGTTATTTAAGCTGCCCATTTATTTTAAGATCACGTGTTATAAGTTTCTACACTAACCAGTAACCGCTTAATCTGAGAAGGCCCACTGTCAGCCTGTGCTATCACAGCTAATGTAACTTCGTCAAAACGTCAGTGAATTCAAAGGTGTGTGACCTATTACATGACCGCATTAATCCTTATATACATATATAAATAATTATTATATACTATGGTAGGCATAGTTACAGAAAATAATACAAAAAAGAATCGTTAAAAATCTCATGAAATTGACTCGGTGACAGAAAAAAAATCGAAATATTCACCATAATAATCATTGACTGCGTTATTTAAACATTACAATTCAATTCATTACATTAAATTAGAACCCATTACGTTGAGTACTTAAAGTTAATTTATAAATGTCTTCTAAAGATACTCTTTAATCAAATCTTCATGTTTTGTAATTTTAGTAAACGTTGTATATGTATTAGCATTGCACAAATTTTCATTATTCGGTGCAGTAGACACGACACCTCTTAAATAATATCTATCAACCCCCAACTCCTGGTCTGCAAAAGCTAAACCACCACCGCTGTCGCCTTTGCATAAAGCCGTACCTGAAATATTAAGAAACCGGCTTCAGACAGGTTGAGGGTATATAGTTTCTAAATATCTCTTGGGGTTACCTACGTAAGTAAAATTAATTTAATTTTCTACTTAAATATAAATTAAAATATGTTATACATTTATAAAAATGTTTCTGGACAAATGATGATAATGATAACCGCATCAAAATCGAATGCGTGGCTCAGGAGAAACTAGCGAATACTGATAGGCTCGTCTAGTAACTTTGCTTTACATTATGTAAAGAAGAAAAAGAAATCCAGTTATCTTTGGTATTCCCAAATTCCTGCTCTTTTTCCCAATATATGCCTGAATATAGCGGAATCTGGCAGAATATAGTATAAATGTGAGTGGGTTTGTTTATTCCCCTTTCACGCTTAAGCCACTTAACCGATTTAAAAAATTATTTTACCAATAGAAAGCAACGATATCAGTGAGTAACCTAGGCTACTTTTTACCGAGATAAACATCATACACGCGGGCGGAGCCGTAGGCAAAGGCTAGTATGTAATATTGCTAAATGTACGGACTGCTTTATATCAGTCGGCTGCTTGCCTCAACGATGAAATTTATAACGGAAAAAAGGAAGAAGGCAGAAGATAAATAAAGAAAAAGCAAAGGGCCAGAACGACAATGAGCTTCAGTGTAGTAAGAAGAATTATTAGAAACTGTTTTTTTTATTCTTACCGTTCTTTATTAACTTTTTTTTGTAATATTACACTCACCGTTGGTATATCCCGCGCAAATCTTATCTCCAGTGATGTACTCTCTAAAAGAAGGTGGGAGGGTGTTGATGCAGGTATCTATGTTGATGTAAGGCATTTCTACTACCTTCAAAACTTGGGAGGCGTTCCCATTTTCCTCAGTGAGGCCCCAACCAGCCACCTAGAATAAGAGATTTGTTTTTACTAGTTCTGATTTTTGAAGTGAAAACTTTTTTAGGCGCGTTGGGCATTTTTAAACAACAAACAAAAGAATGTCTTTGATGGTTTAACAAAAAGCACATGTTTTGAAATAGGAAAAAAAACATTGTTACCGACACCTCTGTTGACGTGAAAACTTCTTTGGGAGCGTTGGGCATTTCTTGAGATGGGAAAAACAATTGAATTAGCGACACTGTTACCGTTACCGACACCTCTCCTGGAGTGCCACTGTTTTTTTTTATTTATGGCATAGAGGCACGAGTCACCTGATGGTAAGTGATAACTCTGCAGCTCAAGAGTCGTAGAGTGCGCCCCACTTTGAGCCCCACTCCCTTATAAATTGGGGGATGGTTTGGGCTCCCAACAACTGACAACGTCATTTACTCGGTGAAAAGCAACGAAAAGATTGCTGCCTAACTCCGGTTTTTTGTTAGGCCGTGATATCAGTCGAGTCGGTCTATTTGTGCCGAATCATGGCTCTCCCTATGTAAATATTTTTTAGGCTAAGAATATAAAAGAAGCTGGTAAATGAGAATAGCAAACGTTCAGATTTGGGCTTTGAACTTTATTATTAGCATCCACATATTTTCAAAAAGAGCATCACAATTTAATTGAGAATTCATAACTTAGTGATCGGCTAAAGAAGCCTGAATTTTAACATATAAATATATTTTCTACAAGCAAAGGCAAAGACACAAAATTTGCACTTAGGGAAGTTTAGAATTTCCGGTCGGTCCGAAAGAATTCAGAGACTCCAATCAATTTCTCCTACTTTAGCAAATCTATCACTTATACCACAACAGGGCCTACCATTTAAAATAAATAAAGTCTCGAGGATTGTTTAGTCGGATATCCTAACATTTCTTTTCAATTTTTACTTTATGCAACATCTGATGTCCTTTAAGAAATCACGTTCAAGACACAACATAAATACACACATAAATTTACACAGTAAAACATCATGATGATTTCTACAGGGACTTGATCTAATCATGTATCTTAACACCCAGCTGTGGTGAAAACGAATGCTCTATTTAATGACAAACCCAACTGATGGTGCCAGATTTTATTAATTCTATTATTATTTAGACCGTATTATGACCCATGTTTTTTTCTGACTTTGTTTAGTGAAAGACGGACTATGCAGCATTGTGATTCTTTAGTAGAAGACCAGGAGCTGTCTTACGTCGATTAGCTTGTTTATAGATAGATAGTGTTATTCTTAGTGTTTATAGTTAAACCAACCTTTCCCAATTTATTTGGGACCAGTTGCCGTCTTTCGAAATTGGTGTCAAAGTTCAGGCACACAGGTCTCACGTACGTCTGGTAAACAAATGGTGTGACCAGGATCACGATGGCTATGTCTTCTTGGAAATTTGCCGCCGAGCCTAGGAATAGGCTTGGGATATTTATTTCTTTTACCTGGAAAACAGTACTTACTTGTAACACATTAGTCTGGAATGGAACTATTTCTTTAACTAGTAGTCAATTTATTGGTGTTTCTCGATAAGAAATCTACCAGGAGTTTATATATATTTTTTTTATTTTTTTTTTTTTTTTTTTCAATTTCAATTTATTCAAGGTAAATTGTACAGAAAATAGTGATAAAATGGGCGCTCATTTTTTTAGCTATAACAATTAGAATTATAAAGGAAAAGAAGAAAGATATAGAATTATCAAACTACATACATCAGACTTTTGCGCATCAACATCTCTTTCATTGTTCCATGGCCGATAGAGCTTGCCAACTGCCACAGCGTAATTAGACGCAGGTTGTTTCTTGGTGATGTCATTCCAGAAACAATGAGCAGCTGAAAACAAAACAGAATCTAGTTATTCAGGCCATTTGCCTGGTGGTAGTATATCGTCATAATCGTAGAATAGTGTCGGATCTGATATTTATTGAACTTTCATAACTTTTTTTAAACGAAATCTGTAATTATGAAAATTGCATACAAGGGAAAAATAGGGTTTGTCAAATGCAATAAAAATAATTATACAATTTTCTAGAAAAATCACATCCTTCATTTTACTTTGAGCGCCTAACAAACAAACAATAAATAATTTAAAATCCAAAATACAATTCTTTTTTTCTTGAATGTAGTAATAATATTTAGATAATCTAGTATTAAAATATGGTAAAAGCTGAATTTCGTAATATTTTCAAAACCGACATTATTTTACGATCATGACGATATGTACTGCAGGAGTAAATTACAGATGACGTATAGTTCCTTAACGCGTTAATACCAGTTCCTGTCACGGTACATATGAAAAGGAATCTAGTCACGTTCAGGTTATTCAAGGTCTCCTATGACAGAAGCTTCCTAACCTTACCCGATATAACTACGTTGTTGGAGACGAGGGAACCTCCACAAATCTGCATAAAAGGATTCGAAGTTTTACGGTAGATGCCAACATGCCACGGCAATTCTCCTCGCTTCGCTAGCCACCCACCAACAACTAACTGTGCTCCTTCAGGAGTTACACGGCCACATTCTGAAAAGAGAACAGTGATTTAATAAACCGAGTTAAATTATAAGCAGCGCGGAAAATGCTCTTGTATTCTACGATCTTCTTGAAAAAAAAGTACAGCAGTGCTATTCTCTAAGGAAACAGCATTGCGTATAGCCCAGCCACAGCGTCGAACTTCAAACTAAGTTCGTTTAAAATTACGCAGTACGCAAGAAGGCTGCCTCCTTAGAGAATAGCACTGCAAGACTGAGAGCAGTCCAACGTGACTGATGTGATTCGACTATTTCGACGCTTTAAAATCCCGTCGAATGTGATAAGCGGTGAACGTATAATTTAGACCACCCTAATCCTATAAGGGTCTGAGCAACATGGTGGGTCTGGGCGAATCCATCCATCTTTTACGCTGATGCATCGTACAGTCCTATTGATTGTGTTTGTGTCCCAGACACACGTAATTGATCTATAAATAATATGTATGTATTTATAGAAGTATGTTTATCAGCAATCTTGTTACCATAGTACAGGTTCTGCTTAGATTGGGATCAGACGGTCGTGCGTGAAATTTGAGAGATATTTAACGTTATTGTTATTATTGTTAAATCTATAGACATCGTCCATGGGCATGCATGTCATCACGTTGTTCCACAGCTCTGTAAAACTATGGAAGACATTATCGAAAGTCAACGCACCTACTTCTGGGATCAATTTTGAAGATCTCGCTTCAGAATTGACCTCGATAGAGACACCAAGAATGACTGGCACCATATTGAACTAACCATACATAATCCTGAAGATATTTTTTTTATTACTTTCTCTTTGAAGTTACATTTGGAAGTCGTTAACATTATCGGTAACATTATCTCAAATATTTTTTCATCATACATACTTGAGATGAATGGGACGGAGTTTTAGATACATAAAATTGATCCCGCATGTAAGTATAATCCCACCAATAATTATATAGGTTTGGGAGAGATATGTTCTTATGGTGACGGACTAAGAAAACTGAGTACTACACCGCCCTTATTCATCTACTGAGTGTCGTAAAAACTATGAAGAATAACAGCACTGCAAAGAGAAGGAAAACTTAAAACATACCGTATATCCACTCGTCTGGCCAGCATGGTATAGTAGGCCAAAACCTCTTTTCCAAGAAGACACCTATGTAACGCCGTTTTTCACCGAGAGAGTGAGGTTATCGTTGACGACCCTCCCACCTCCCTCCCCCCTTATTATGGATGGGAGGGACTGACAGACTTGAGTTGCAGGTGTACAATGAGTCGTACCTACCAATGCATGACCCATCTGCTCGTTTGTCCCATTATATTATAAGAAAAAGTATCTCAGTATTTATTTACCACTAAAAATGCAGTTTCTGCACCACATGGATACACTTACTAGCTGTTGTGAGATAACTTAACGTTGAACTTGAGGGATACCAGATGCTAACTACTAAGAATTTATTCCGACTAATATTTTTATAATCCCGTGGGCAGTCTGCGACTGTTGACAGAAAATATCAGTAAGATATCTATGTTATACTGCATCAAAGGCTTTCGCTAAATCTAAATAACGATCAGGCAGTTACATTTTGATCATTGTACAAATAATGATTGATACAGTGATTATTTTATATCATTTGACTAACAAATTTACTATAATTTTGCCAACCAAATAATTAAATATAGTTATTACATACATAGGTTATGTTAATAGGATGGTGGATAAGGAAGAAAATAAACAACATTATTTTAATATGACTTGATTTATTGAAAAAAAAACTTAATTATCCATCCTGTTAACATTGGTTTACAATTAATATTTATTATTATACATATATATAAAACTATATAATAACTAACTAATGCAGGTAGGAACGCTTTGTCTAGAATTATGGTATCTATGCAAGGTGAGTATTAAGTTATAAATATTAAATCTCACTTGTCCCTACAAATTAGTTTTCATGGCTATATTTAACTGTAAAACCTAAGAGAGAATCTTAAGAGGAATACAAAACCCATAAAATAATCGTATTACACAGAGGAATATTTGCCTGAGTGCAATTAAATGTTAATGCGTACAGTGCTAGCTGTTAGCAATTGCTGCACAAGACTATGATACATGGGCTACGGTAAGTAAATAAAAATAAATAAAGAAAAGACGTAGATATTGTCAATTGACGAGGTAAAAACGTCAAATGAATGGTCTATCAATGAAGAAATTGAAATCTATGACGTTGTATTTTTTTAAAGTAAAAATTGAGATTGGGTGTATGAAAAATGAATCCCGTGACATAAATAATTATTTTAAAAATAAACCAAATAAAGTATAATGAATAAGAACCTTTCGTTTCACGCGGTAACACATCCAGCCCTATCACCTGGATAATTGTCACTCTAAAACTGTGCACTTTTCAGGAGTGCCCTGAGTGTTTTGGATTCGATCCCCACATGGGACATTTTAGTGATCGCACAAACACATAAATTGTTGTTCTGAGTCTGGGTGTTCTTTGTGATCTCTTGAGTGAATGTTTGTAAAAGTAAAAGGTAAAGGATTCTCAGTGCGGGAGTTATCTTATAAATACAAAATAAAAAGAGTAGGACAGTCAATTAAACAAGGAAAGAAATATTGCCGCTTGTTAACAACATAGGCAAACGTGGAAATTGACTATATTAATAATATATATATATATATATATATATATATTTTATAAAGTACTAACTAAGCAATACTAGCGCCATTCTGGTCAGTTTTTAACCGAATACAAAAAGGAGGTTTTTAATTCTACTTCATTTTTTTACTATTTTTGTCATAAATTGTGGATTGATTAGCAACGTTATTTTTGTAATCCAAAGGGTATACGCCTGAGGTGGTCCCATTACCACCAAATTAGGATCTGATAATGTGATCCCAAAGAAATCGAGGGAAACCTTCAAATTTTACTGCCCCGACAGCGTGTTTTAGCTTGTTTCTCTAGCTACACATGTATTTGCGTTTGGTAGTCGTTATCTCATGTTGCTGAGCTAATGATGGAAGGGTCCTTAACCTTTAGGAGTTAGAGGATAACTCTTTTAAAAATATAAAAATGTATTGACCTTCTTTATTCTTTTAAGATATTTGTGTTGGGTTACAGAGATATGTAGTCATAAATGAAATTACTAGGTATATATTTAGATAAAAAAAAGTGTTTGCTACGCAGTTATTTTTATGTTTATTACCTCAAAACTCTTTTATTTGTGAACCGATTTGGAAAAAGCTTTAGAGTATATTATTACTTTGGTTTCGCTAAATGTGAAGAAAAAATGTCACTCCTCATGGCGGAAAATTAAGTAATGTGGCAAACTATATTTTTGCTTTAAAATTTAACAGAAACTACAGTTTGGTATTATAAACATTACAGTACGTAGTGTTTTAAATATCGTATCTACTTATTACAAAACGTATTGAACACTAGAAATGGTAAAAAAAAATACTTTACATTTTTACCGACTTCAAACAATACTAACACAGAACATCAAAAATTAAAAAATAATTACAAATCCAATTGAAAAAAAAAACAAAATAAATGCGACCCTCAATATAACAGGTAACATTATAATAGCAGTAGATACCTTCTAGTCTGTTTGAAGTCGGCGGTCGGGGTTTTAATAGTACTTTCTTTCTTTTTTTTTTTATGTTAGAGGGGGCAGACTGGTCACCTGATGGAAAGTGACTACTCCGCCCATGAACGTCTGCAACTCAGGAGTCACAAACGCGTTGCCTGCCTTTTAGGAAGGAGTACGCTCTTTTCTTGAAAGTTTGAAGGTCGTATCGGGTCGGAAATACCGCAGACGATGAACCGTTCCACAGATTGGTTGTGCGTGGCAAAAAGTGTCTCGAAAAGCGCACAGTAGTGGAGCGCCAACTATCTAGGTAATGAGGATGAATATTTCTTTCTAAAGCACCTTGGTAAAATAGTACAAGTATGTACTATTTTACTATGTAGTACTATTAAGTATGTACTATTAGAATGAAAAGTTAATTCAAGAAATCAATCATTCTTTCTGTATTTGTATAAAAAAATAAATGCTTAATAGATTCTTTGGATATCATAGGAAAGTTGCGATACCTAGAAACTTAAAAATGTTGTAAAATTAACTACATTAGTCTATTGCACAATAGGTGGCACTGTAAAACGAATTGTTATCTACTATTTAACAAGAAAAAATCTTATTTTAATTGTATTTGTGTAAATCGTATACAGGATTCTTATAGAAACTTTACCAACTTGTTAAAGATTCGCTGTTTTATTCACAAGTCTCTTTTGGCCATGTCCGACTAGCCTCAGCTTCAAGAAATGAAGTGTCAGGAATCAGTTTTAATACCATTGATAGTGTGATTTCATAATGCCGATGTATTTCTGGAGAAGTTGTCTAATAATATAATAAGTTGTTTATTTTCTCGCCACAATACATTTATAAATAATGTCTGATCTAGATTTACTGCTATTTTAATAATAAGTCCCTTGGTTTCTTATTATGTAAATTTACATATAAATTAAATAAAAACAAGTATAGTAAATATCAGCTGATCTGAGACAATTTATATCTTGTTATGTGGTTTCATGAAAATAAACATAATAACAGTGGCAAGTCAATATATATATATGAAAATGTAATTTATGTTCATAAAAACAAAGATAGCTTCCTGAAAAAAGTATGTACATGCTTTTAATACCAGAAATAGAAATGAATTTGTTGTACCTGCCTGTAGGCTCCAAAAGATAAATAAGTCATTCCGAGGTCAATGTGTCCGATTCTATATTAAAATCCCAAATAGTATACAAGATTTTGGTACAAACAAATTAAAATGTAAACTGTGTCAGAGGGCCTATTACTCAATTGTGGATTACATAGAAGACAAGAATGCTTGGGATTAATTTAGCACAGGCTATTTCGTAGTGGAAATGTGATGTGGGCTAGTGTGTCTTTTATTTATTTTTCCATTTTTTTATGTTTTACTTCACTTTCTTTTTTATGCCATCTCTTTCCTATATCTTCAGTGGCTTTTTACCTTTTAGTGCTTAAAACTTACATACTGGCACACATCAAAACAAGGTTGTGTATATTTAATGATGCCATTGTTATTTGTTGATTGAAAAGAGTGGCCGTGAGTTGTTTTCCCTTTCTAATGAGACTCAACCCCTAAGAATTGGGCGGTTGTAAAGACGCATATAAGAGATTTTCGATAGGTATATATTTAGTTAGCTAAATATTTGACAAAACAGAGATTTTTGCTATTGTGTGTATTGATCTATGACTTTAGAGTCTACACAAGAGACGATATCAAATAATTTTGTATTTTTATGAAATAACGATATATAAGTTTGAGGTTTTGGTGTTTTGGTTTTGGTGTAGGCGCACATTTTTAAACAACGCATTATTATGAGTTAAATCGATTTTCTGTGTTATTAATATGTAGTCATTCCAAGTCCTTGATATTAAACACACAAAGTTTCATTCGTAGGAAATGTTCACTTTATCAGGAAATGACTACCGCCGCCCATGAACACCTTTAGGGCCTCTCCGGTAATTTCACTAATTCAGTGGAAAGCATTTAAAAAATTACTAAACATCGGTTTTTGTGATCCCGTGGTATTATTCCGGCCGAGCTGGTCTATTTGTGCCGAAGAATGGTTCTATTTCAAATTCAAAATACATGTTTAATATTAAAAATCAAGAATTTTCTAAAATTCTGAGTATTTCATGGTATTCATTGGGTCAACTATACATTACTAAAATATGACCACATCTTCGTAACAACTTGTATTTATACTAGTGATGTGCCGGATCGTTAACAAAGCATATCCGCGGATACGGATCCGAATACGGATATTTGGTGTCAAGATCCGCGGATACGGATACGGATCTTAAGTTTCTTACTCAATCCGGAGCCCGTAGCCTTGATAGTTGTCGCCACTTGACGCTTTGCCGTTGATATTTAAATATTTCATTATTTTAATAAGCTAATACAAAGATGATCTCATTATAAAGATAGCTCTTTCAGTACCTACGACCTGCCTAGTTGATTTAGTGTAGTACGATAAATGATTGCAATACAAAGGTGCCAAATATTTGTTTTAAGAAGTAAAAAGTAATCTGAACAGAATTCAATAGTTTTTCATACCTAATAACCATTATTCAGGGTTATTTTAAATTTACTGAAAACCTCTGAAGTGCATATTAGTAACATTATAAACAACAACTTTTCTTCTGGACTAACACCGAAAACGAAAGAAAAAAAATTGTTTCTCCATACAAACTAATAACATTTGATTGGTCATTTAAATGGAGGACCATTTTTTTTACATTATGACGTTGGTCAGAAAAAAAGTTGCTGTTTATAGTGTTACAAACACATACCTAAGAGTTTTAGAGTGAATACAAAATCACCTTTATAGAATTTCATCTATGTATTGAAAGATCCGCCAAAAAAGTCACGGATACGGATACGGTTACGGATCTCTCTTCTCCCTTGGATATCCGCGGATACGGATATCCGGCACATCACTAATTTATACTAATAAGTATTAATTACTGCATACGGTATAGGAAAATCTTACGTAACAGGAAGTATATTTGGTTATAGCAAGAATAATATATTTTATTTGGTACGGATTCAAGTGACCCTAATCTGAATAGAAGTTCATAGTTTGAAAATTTTCAAACCCCATGTTGGGCCTGACATTGTACCCTGTGAGAGCTAAAAGATAATGACACGAAAATGGTAAAGATTATTGCAGTTCAGTGTAAGCCTATATTTAGATAAATATCTTTCGGATATAAACTGATAAAAATGAATAAAATTATTGTAAAAAATGACAATGAATTTTTAACTTAAATTTATACTCGTACTTTAAAGGTATCAAAGGCTTATTGAAAATCAGTTCTTAAACTAAATTTTATCACTGGATTGGACTACGATGCTACTATTATAAATATTCAAATTAATGTCACTTTTCCTTTTAGTTGTTACTGGAGCCATCCTCCAATCTTCCTCACTAATCTCATAATCTAATGGATTCACTGTAGTAGTTTGTTGTATTTTATTACCATTCCCATTGTTATTTACATTTATAGTTAAATCATCATTTTTATTATGATTATAAATATTATTACTATTGTCACTATTGGATGCTACGTGCACACTGACTTTATTATTTCCATTTACATAAACAAAATCGCTTATATATACTTCAACTTTCTCTTTGATAAGTATCGTAATATTAGTTCCATTTTTGGCCAAACCTGCTTTGCATTGAGCAATGTAGTCCCAAGATCCACCGATACACTTCATGTATCGAAGAATTTCTGACGAATAGTAATTAGGAGTGTTGCAGATTGGGTTCACAGTGGTTCCTGGTGCTACGTAATGTTTGCAAGCCTTGAATCCGTTGGTACCTGGGATCTGGCACATAAAACGGACGCTAGGATCTGGATCTAGTCTGCAGAATTCTGTAAAAATTATTATGCATCAAATATATAAAAAATCTGCAGAATAGTTTTCTAGGTTGTTTTTTCAAAAGGACCATGTTACATTTATTTTTTTACATTACAGTAACCTATTTTACATCTTTCTAAAAGGGAGTTTCTTATCGTTGTAAGAGTTAAGAAGGCATGTTTTCACTTCACAGGCAAAGATTTGTAAAATGTACTTACGAACGCATTCAGGCATATCTTGGTACATTACTCCACCGAGACAGTACACAGTTTCTGTACCATTTCCATCTGTACCTCCATCTGGCTCCAAGAGTCCGTATCCTCGTTGGCAACTGACTGTTATCACGTAATTCCCAAATGATTGGCCAGGTCTTGCAGATGGGAGATTGGAGACTTCGTATGTTCCATGATCAGGGTAAGGTGGAAGAATACAGTTTCCTGGTTTTGGTGTTGGTGTTCTGAAATGTATGAGCAGATTTTTTTATCATCATTATCATCACCTTAAATAGGTCACAGCTGGACATAGAAACCTCGCCTTCTAAAGGTGGTTTTGGCCTACTATACCACGCTGGCCAGACGGGTTGGGATAAGGTTTATTTTAAGGTTTCCTTCCCCTTCCAGTGCTGTTGTCGTACGTAGTGTTGACACTTCGTATTGTTGATTAAATTCTGGAGAACTATTAAGTAAAACAGAAGTACATTATTATGAACTTACGGCTTTGTAACATCTGGTGTTCCAATTCTGTTGCAAAGTTCATCAGATTCATCAGATCCATCTGCACATTCTTGTATCTGTTGACAAAAAAGAATAGTACCGCCAGTAAAGACTAGTATCGCTTTTAAATATTGGTATTTTTAAATTTAAACAAATTCAAGGAATGTATAGATTCCTTGACCTTCAGTGAGTGTTTTAATACCACTAATCCTGTTGAATCTTTTAATTATTTCTATGACACCTTTCTTTTGTTCTATCGTCTATGTTTTCCTGTCATTAAAGCAAGAATAAACCTAAAAAGCCGTCCAAGGTGGATCACCAAATGTTGTAAACGCAAAAGATAATTACTGTGGCAGTATTGGAAAACTCGTACTGATAAAAATAAAAACGAGTTAAATGTACTATCTTCAAGGCTTAACCGCATAATTAAATTTACTAAAAAAATCCGAAATGATGAGACACCAGCGAAGGTTTTACAGACATACATCAAATTAATAGGACTAACATACGAGTTCATGAACTCATTCTCTTAGACTCCGTCCTTTTAATTTTTGTTCCCCTACTTGAACTTCTGCCGACTGCAAAAGTAACCAGCTAAAAGCCTGTGCAATATTATACAGTTTGGGGCTCGGTTCAATACCAACCCTGAAAGCAGTCGATGGGCCTGTTGGTCTAGTGGTCAGCGACCCTTACTGCTAAGCCAGAGGTCGTGGGCTCGGTTCTCACGCAGGACAAATAATTGTGTGATGAGCAAGAACATTTGTTCTGTGTGTGGCTGTAATGTACTTATAACATATTTTGATTTTTTCAGTATGTTTATCATCAGTCTGGTTACCGACTGTTACGATGATGATACCCTGTTCTAATTTGCTAATCGCAAAAAAAAAATACAACGCACCCCATTGCAATCCGCCCCCTGATCCACACAAGCTCCATAAGCACATTGAAATAGGTACGAAGGGCAGGTTTTGTCAGCACACGCTGCTACAGTCTCATCAGACCCATCCGGACAATTCGGAGTCCCATCGCAGTGGTCGAATGCTGAGATTAAGCTTCCGTCTTGGCATTTAAATTGGACTCTGGGAAAGGAAATCAAACGTAGATAACTTAATTTTTAACATTTTTAATTTCAATACTCAAACAGTAAAAGAAAGTTAACACTGGAACAATGTAACGTCACAGATTGTTGTTTCGTACAAGTATTCTAGGAAGTCCTTCTGAAGTGTAATAAAGATAATCTAAATTTTAAGTTGACGGATAACTATAGTAGGTATTCAAATTTCCCATTCATAGTAAGGGAGCAAGCTATGCAGGATTGGCTGCAAAGAGAAGGAAAACTTGCAACAAACCCTATACCGACCCGTCTCGTGAGTGTGCTATAGTTGGCCAAGACCTCCTTGTCCAAGTCCAGCAGTGGACTAGTAAAGGCTGTTGATGAGGACGAATAAGGAAGCCAAATCTTTTCGAGGTACTGTAGTTTTGATACCGTTACATTACCTGAGATGTACGGTATCACTTACTCTAGCCCTATCGTTTTTCCTAAATTACATTCTTCTTTTGTCCTTTCTGAAAACTATTACCTTCCTTAGGTAGATTGGGGTTAGGCAGTTGGTCAGCCATAAAATAAATCAGCCATAACTATTTGCAATATTAAACATTGCGTATACCGCATTTAAAATCACAAAAAGAGCAAAAAAATATGTTGATGATGAGTAAAGTTTCTATCAAACCCGTTAGTAAACCTACCCCATTTTTTGAGTGTCATTTCTACATCTTGGAAGCAGTTCATCTGAGTTGTCAGCACATTCTGTGACCCCGTTACATGGAGCTGTGCCGTCTACGCAGGCGCCGTATGTACAGCGAAACCAATTCGGTTGACACCTGTTGAAACAGAAAATGTAGATGAAGTTGAAACATAAATATTAGGATTCATTGATGTATATTTTGTCAAGTAGTGCAGGTAACCTAAACCTTTTCTGTAGCCATGATTAATTTGTATTCGTAAAATATTCTTACAAAAAACGAGATATTTGAATTCGACTTTTACGAAAAATTCGTAGGCAAAACTAGTTATTTAAAACATAAAGGAATAAAAGAAATAAAATGAAAACTTACAACATTTTCCTACAGAGGGCGTGGGTCTCGTCGCTGCGATCTGGACAATCTACGGCCCCATCGCATTTGCCATCGAACGAAATGCAAGTCCCGTCGCGACACTGCCATTGGAATTTTCTGAAGTCAACATTGTCATGGTTTAAAAAGAAAATCAATAAACGAAAAACGCTGTAAAAGCGTTCTCATATTAATATACTTTTAAGAAAAGGTTATTCAGTTTTCTGTACTCACTTGCATCCAGACTGCCTTCTATACCGGTATACTTCCAAGTCTTCCGATTGAACGTGGCTTCTGAAACAGGCAGAACGTGTCTTAATATCAATAGGAATCTTTTGAATCTGTAAAAATATTGTGCAACTTTTCCACTATTCATCATCAAAATTTTCATTTTTATTTTGATAGAACTGGCGTTGATGTTGAAAGCAACAGAAATCGTTTCTTTGCGCTTTATTATGATCTATATCAATAAAAACTCTTTTCTCTCTTATTTTATTCATTTGTGTTAAATATTCATTTACTTGTCTACTTATATAAATGAGTGCAATACATTGGAAATCATCACCATCATCTCCTTGAGAGTTTTTATGGCAAGCCTGAACAGGGGTGGTGACACTCCGTACTCTTTCCCACACGGGACAAGCGTAAAAGCCGACTAAGGGACCAAACAAATAACCCGTCTGGCCAGCGTGATAAAATAGGCCAAAACCTCCTTTCTAAGTAGAGGCCTATTTCCAGCAGTGGACTATTAAACCGATCGATTGGAGTAATACCCCGGCTTAATAGTGTAGGGGACCAAACTAACTAATATCTTCGTCTATGGACAGCTGTGTAACTAAAGAGTTACAACTGAGTTGCCGCCTTTTGATTCCCACTCCTCTGTCAGGAAGGGGAAGAAGTAACCGAGTGAGCTCCGGTATCCTCACTCACACGGTTAAAAGCTACGAAAAAATTGCTTGATACAGGTTTTCTGTGAGGACTTGTTCCTCATTGAACTGAACAGAGCATGATCCTTCAGCTTTTCGTTCTATTTACCTCTTAGTTCCTTCTTTATATTTATTTAAACCGATTTTAGCAGCTTACCTTCCATCAGGATCGCATGCTGCTTCATCACTCCCATCTAAGCAGTCGTCGATCCCATCACAGACGTGTTCTAAACCCAAACAAACTCCATCTGGACAGGCGAACTGCTGCCGATCGTCTAAACTGAAACGTTTTTTGATGTAAAAGGGGGTTATTCTTAATTCGTCACCATGGTTTAACAATAAATCAAGTTGCTTATTTTTGTTGTAATATAACACCAGAAAAAAAAGGCTATGTCTCTCTAGTTTTATTATTCCATAATCTAAACTAAGGTTTTTGTTGCAAGTAAAAATATTTTTAAATAAATATAATATTACTTGCAAGAGGACGATATGGGCTCGGTGACTCTCGCTACAGCTGGCGATGTCACTGAAAAAAGAAAATAGTAAACTTAGAAACATTTGAATTTTAGAACAAAATAATTTTCTGAACAGTATTCATGTTTTTTTATGATATTGGCGCAAAAGAGCAGACGGGTCACCTGATGGTAAGTGGCTACCGTCGCCCATGAACACCTGCAAATCTAAAGTCATAAGTGCCCCGGTATCAAGGAGACCTCACTTGTTGAAATGCAATAAAAATATATTTTATTTCATTTATTTGGCCAACCAACAAGAACATACATCTTTAAAGCTAAGAGAGACAAGGACAGTGGTATACAAGTATTACTGTTGCCTTAATTTCTGTTTTCTGTGAGCTCGTGGGTTCATTTTGGTCGAACCGGCCTATTTTTGTCGAAGCATACTTCTCCTCGGAGGATATTGTATTTCGGGACATCCCCGTCTAGTTTTGGCGATACGGCACTTTATTCAAGAAGGGACCCCGTCGCGACAGTGTCAGACTGTCATGGCAACACGTTAAACACGCCCATTAATAAAACCGTAAACATTGAATATTTATGTTTTTTTTAAGGTTTAAACGTTCCTTTTATACATATTATATCCATAATAAAATGAAATATAATTATAAAATATTCGCGTGAACAATATTTCAAAAAGATCTTGTGTTAGAAAATAAGTGGATTTCCCACTTTAGCGAAGGCATGCAAATAAAAAAATGTTTATGTAAACTGGTTTTGTACAATTTACATATTTATTCAATTTTTTATATGTTTACAATTTTAATGGACACACATTAAATATGTATGAATATTTCATGTTAACTCTAACTTCCAGTAAACTAGAAGTAATCTCGGTGCAAACTCCACCATCCCACGACTTAGCAACCTGCTCAATAGTTGCAGCGCCCTGGTTGATATACATACCAGTACCATACAAAATACTCTTTAAAAGGCACTTTTTTGTTTCTATCTGTTTTTTGCCAAAACCTACTTGTATAAATTTAGCATAAGCATAAAATAATTGTTGTTTATAGCGCATGAGGTGCTTACCTATAAGTAATTGTAACACTATGCCACTTCATACTCATTGTAATATGTCTTTAAAATGTTAACAAGTGTATACAATGGTTGGTGAGCCAATTAAATAAATAAATAAACTCTGAAATGTATAGGTACTAGAAATTTTAAATTCCATACACCTTTTGTCACTTTCAAAATTAAGACTATCTAACGACACCTCCTAATCCAAAATCCATCAAGTGTTGTTAACCTGATAATTATGTTAAATTTATGTTGATGCAGTTAATATTTATACTGTAACTAGCTGACCCGGCAAACGATGTTTTGCCATATACATTATTTCTAGGAAATATTAAAAAAAGGGGGGGGGGGTCACCCTTGTCTTTAGGGGTATGAAAAATAGATGTTGGCCGATTCTCAGACCTACCCGATGTGCACACAAAATTTCAGAAAAATCGGTCCATCCGTTTCGCAGGAGTATGGTAACTAACATTGTGACACGAGAATTTTATATTTAAGATGATACGTTATGATTACATTTATATTTAAGCAAATAAAATTGTACTCACGAGGGCCGTTGTAGATTTAAGGTGGCATACAGCAGTTTTACTGTACCTAATACTAGATACTTCTAACACAAGTCGTTTGGACTACAGAGTGTTATAGAAAAAAAATAATATACATACATAGACTCGAAGACATAACCCTCCTTTTGGCACGGTCGGGTAGAAAGTTAGTAGATTTCTAAATACTGCTTGACCATACCGGTCAAAAAGACGTAATTTCAAGATAAGAGACTAATAATTTGTCTCTTATCTTGTTTTATTCTTAAAATATACAAATGCTATCTACAAATACGTAGTGATGAGTTCTTATTGTCAACGTCTCAGAGGTTATCACCACTTTCTGTGTAAGTAAGTAAATATATTAAACGTAATAAAGTGGGATTTCCCTTTTTTAAGATATAACAAACTGATTAATAAAAATTAAAAGACCTGACTAAGTGAATTTTTACGGAATCGGATTGGATTCGTATCGGACCTAGTGCGAAACCCCTTTAAGAAATAAATAAACATAAATCTAAATTAAATTAAGTTAAAACTAAATTATGAATACTCTAATCTCTATTCAGTTGTGAATTTTATTTAATTCAATAAATGCTGAGCGCTTAACCAAACAATTAAACTGCAACGCATTAAATAACCTACCAATAAGTGAATAAAGTTTAATATTCATCGCGCGACAACACGAACTCAAGCATAATATATTTGAGAGCGATGCATTATGTACCTAATTACTGCGCGTGAATGCACTTTTTCCATTGGTTGACTGCCGCCTTTTTTCTGATTCGGTGATTTGGTGACTTGTCAGGTCATATCATATGACTAATTTATGTAGATGGTTTGTCTTCTTACATCTCTAAGTTTACAGGGCTCGACGTCATTCCGCCAGGCCCGGGAACGGGCCAGGCACCGCAGGCGACTCAGGCGCCGGAGGTCGCAGAACGACCTCCGTCCTCCATAAGCGCAGGCCTGGGTGTGACAGGTGAGGCCATCTGTCACCCTAGCAGAAGCAGGCCGGGGTGGCGACGAGCGCGTTGCGAAGCGCGCTCACTTCCAGGGAGCACAGGGAACAGGGGTTCCCACACGGGGGGGGGGGTCGTCTACTCGTCTGTAGATGACCCGAGGTATGTCGGGGCACCAGGGACTTCCTTTCTAGGGTATACCTGGTTCCCCGGCTATTAGTACCCGGCGACGGCTTGCGGTTTTAGTCGGTTCGCGTCCGACATGCCACCGACAGGTGGTATCCGAGGGGATTTCCGCACGGAAAAAAAAAAGAAAAAAAAAAAAATTCTGAGGCTTTTTTTGTCATAGGAGGTACATAAGCAGACGGGTCACCTAAAAGTGGGTGACTACCACCGCCCATGGTTACCTGCAACTCATGAGCCATTTGTAGTACACTCAATTGGTTTAGTCCCAAATTATATGAACAGCAAAACAAGCAAGTACGAAGTTCCTAATCAAAAATCTTTCTTTTATCTATTTCCAAATCAGTACTGACGATCCGTATCCCTAGCGAATAGTGCACATCGGATAACAGGCACAACTTATGACGGGCCTGTTGGTCTAGTGGTTAGTGACCCTGACTGCTAAGCTGGAGGTATTGGGTTCGATTCCCATCCAGGGCAAATAATTGTGTGATGAGCACGGTCATTTGTTCTGTGTCTGGGTGTAATTTGTCTATAATATGTATGTATTTAAAACTATATCAGTATGTTTATCAGCAGTCTGGTGACCATAGTACAGGCTCTGCCTAGTTTGGGATGAAACTGCCATGTGTGAGAATTGTAAAAATAAATTGTATTTAAATAGCCTGGTGCAAGCCCGCACTTTATAATGGTGCCCTATACCTACATTCATTCTACGCTGGTTTGGTTATTTTGCGTCCTCTAGGGTCTACGCCCTGTGCCTGGGTACATTTGGCCCTCTAAGTACTGTTTCGGATGAATGGTACATCAGTGAGTGAATGTTTTTGCTATTATTTGTTACAAGGTATTTAACTTATAAGATTTTTTTTAAATCTTAAATTCTTAAAAGATTTTATAGATTTTATAAAATTAAATGATAAAAAAAGCGTGGGGTGCTTTTTACTATTGACAACAGGCACCCAACGCTTTTTTTCAAATTTATTTTCTATTTTTTAGTTTGGTTTTCTCTAGAAAGCGTGTTTTTTAGTTTTTTTAAACTATTTTTTTTAAATTAGTGTATTGTCATCGGTCCTCGATATATCTACAAAGTTTGAACGAATTCTGACCGTTTAAAGTCAGTCAAAATCACGCCCAAAGGAGTCGGTTACAAACATACAAACAAACATACAAGTGAAGCTAATATAAAGCGTGTAAGAATGATATTACAGGGGAATAACATCTGTTATTTCATATCTTTTAAAGGGATTTCCTTTATGAAAGACGTGTAGTAATGATTGCATCATAGAAAAGAAAAAACCTGAGTGTAAGATTAAAACAGCATAAGAAACCATTTATTATCAAAAATTAATGAGATACTAGATTACTTAATGGTTTGTTAATGGGGATTTTGATGTTCTAGTGGTTTTTATAAACCTATTAATTTTATATTATTATTGGTATTTCGGTTAGGTGTGGATTTTAATAATAAGAGTTATCGAACTAAAATGTCAGCGATAGTTTGTAGATGAAGACGCGTAGATAGATATAGCTGTAATAAATTAATAAATGATTGGCCTTTTGGTGTAGTACTCAGAAATCGTTTCGATTCGACATTGGCATTCAGTTTGATTTCCATCCAGAACCACAGGCGTAATTTGCATTTTATACGCCCTGTTTAAACGTCCGTTCTACGATGGTTTGGATATAGGACATAATGTGTAAAGAGTTTGGCTTGTTTTTTTTTAAGTCAGGCGCTTGCCTGATGCTCACCCTCCAAGTTAATGTAATCCGTTTTAGACAGGACTGAGAAAAAAGGTAATTCAGGGTAAACAAACATGAATAGGGAGAGAACTAGGGTAAGGTATAGGATACAAATAAAGAAAGAAAAACAATTATTATTAGTTTTTGTTATCCTCGTGTGCAATGTTTTCTTTCTAATATTGAAAACAACGAAAAAGGTGGTAAATCCATACATTTTTGTCTAGGTACATCTGCAATAAAGGGTAATTCCGCTCAGCGGGTAGCTGTAGTTTAGGATGGCAAACTAGCACAGCGCTCGTTATCGATTAAAGCCTTAAAAAGTGTGTATCACATAAAGCCACGTCGTTAAACATATACATGACAGGGGACTGGGACTCACGTGAGTCTGTCCTGTGATCTGAGACGCTATTGGAGGGGCATTAATGAAATCTGAATCAATTGAGGTAACGTATACAAACTACTTGGTGGCTTAGACTCTTGTCAATGTCAATAGACAAATATTTTTATAATATAATATATTTTCCGTGTGGTGACGGATTAAGAATACAGAGTGTCACCACCCCTATTCATCCCGTGGGTGTCGTAAAAGGCGACTAAGGAAGCAAACTACGCAGGACAACAGCACTGCAGAGAGAAGGAAAACTTGACACAAACCCTATACCAACCCGTCTGGCTAGCGTGGTATAGTAGGCCAAAACCTCCTTTCTAAGGAGAGGCCTATGTCCAGCAGTGGACTAGTAAAGGCTGTTGATGAGACAAATATTTCATTTTAACTTTGTGTTTACAAAACATGATTTAAAAACCGTTTTTTTTAATTGCTATGTGAAAACAAGGGGGTAGAGGATGGTCTTGGCATATAGGGGAGGCCGGGGTTCAAAGTGCCGGGGGCAGGTTGTTTCGATTGAAATAGCTCCGCGAAGAAAAGAGATAGCAATAGATGTGAAGTGCGTCGCGAAACGACATATCATCGCGCCATTGCGTCAGCCATTTTAGTGACGCTCTGTCCGCGTGTTAGCGTGGTAGTCGATTAGTGACACTCAAACATCACGTAAGTAAATTTTTTCGTCATCATACTTTTTGGTCTATTTCAATCAATTTTCTAGCTATTTATGTGTGACTTGCTATTATCTGTCGAGCAAACTATAGTGATTATCTTTTTAATATCATTTTTGGCTTTTGAAAACCTATTCTATTATACTTGGATGTTACTTTAGAAAATAGAATTTGGGGTTCCAAGTTCCTCTGGCGGGGGGGCTAGTTGTTCCGCGGAACAACCTGCCCCGTAATGAACACGTAAATAATAAAATTAAAACTTTGTTTTAGGATGAGAAACTATAAACGAAAAACCGAACGGGGCAAAGTTTCAATTGAGCTTTTGCAGCGGGCTGCTGATGCTGTTATTAAAGACGGTCGTAAACTTAAGACGGTAGCTCGGGAATTAGAGATATGTCATATGACATTGTTTCGCTTTGTCAAAAAGTTGAAAGCTGGTGTAACACCTATTGTGGGTTACTATTCTAGACAGGTGTTCAACCAAGACCAGGAGAAGACATTGGCGGATTATTTATTAAAATGTTCATCAATTTACTTTGGTCTTTTGCCAGAAGAAGTAAGGAAGTTGGCATATAATTGCGCTGTCAAATTTGACATGCCTAATATTCCAGTCTCTTGGCATAGAAATAAAGAAGCTGGATCTGATTGGGTCACTAGTTTTCTGAAAAGAAATCCGTCTTTGTCCATAAGAGCTCCGGAAGCCACAAGTGCAGGACGCGCATCCTCTTTTAACCGGCACAACGTTCATGAATTCTTTAGCAAGCTCGGAGACGTCATATTGAAATATAACTTGCTACCGTCTAGAATTTGGAACTTGGACGAAACGGGAGTTACCACTGTATTAAAGCCAAAGAAAATAGTCGCTGCAAAAGGCGTTAAACGAGTGGGTGCCATAGTGTCAGCGGAGCGAGGAACTTTAGTTACCGTTGAACTTGCAGCAAATGCAGTGGGAAATACTGTACCAAATATGTTTATTTTTCCGCGCCTTAAATATAAGGACTTATTTATTCGAGATGGTCCCACGGAGAGTATTGGAGCTGGAAATAGCTCGGGATGGATGACGGCTAAAGAATTCCTCATATTTATGGACCATTTTATAAAACATACAAAGCCCACTCCCGAAGACCCCGTATTGTTATTGCTTGATAACCATCAATTACATGTTGACATTGATGTGGTTGAAAAGGCAAAGGCCAATTCGGTTATAATGTTGTCTTTCCCGCCACATTGTACCCATAAGTTGCAACCACTAGATGTTCAAAAACAATGACTCTCATAAATATTCAATTACATATACCTTATTTATTTTATATAATACCTTTCCAACTAATACTACATTATTAGGGACTGGAGTTGATAAGCGGAACAACTTACCTCAGCTGAGGAACAACCAGTCCCTTTGTGGGGCGAGTTGTTCCTTGTCGACTTTTTACAGAAAAAATATCCTGAGCAAAAATATATGCTTATTACAAAGAACTTAAGTATATAATTTTAACTAGGACAAATTATGCACCATTTTTATATAGGAGTCGTTAATTTTAAACCTTTCTATTACATTCATATTTCCCCCGACTCCAAAATCGGAACGTCGAACCCCAGCCTCCCCTACTACGGGTGATCGGGAAGTAGGAAAAGGTTTTAAAAATTGTGCATAATGGGTAACGTAGTAAATTAAAAAAAAACTGTTCGTAGTTGCGAAGTATTACTATTATTATTACACCGAGTATTACTTTAAAACTATTTTAATCCAAAAACGTTTTCCTAAATGAGTCAATTCTCAGTCCCACATAAGAAAAAACTGTTTTGTTTACAATGTGGGTTTTTAACTTAACTTAGTTTTGACAGACAATGAATCACCTTTTATAATTAACTCATTGATTAACTTTTACAGAAATTCGACTTCATATACGGAGTTCATATAAAGCTATATACTTTTATATGTAAAATGTTAAGTTGGTTTGTGTACGCTTCCAAAACTCAAAAAGTTCTACACCGATTGAGGTTAAATTTTGACTCGATATACTAACCGCTTTAAAGATGGTTTATGTCTATTTTTAGTATCAGTATTGTTCCTTATTTGTCATCAATGCAACCACGGTGGCAGTGTACAGCTGGTATTTTATAGAAAAGTTAACACGTCAAGAACATTCTTACTTTATTCATTCCCATTCATTAACAAATATGGCTCACGGCCCAAAATCGATCTAAGGGGCGTGCAATGGGAGAGGCCTATGTCCAGCAGTGGACTGCGATAGACTGATGATGATGATGAACATGGCTCACGGAAGCACAACAAGTTTAGGATTTAGAAGAAGTACACAAAGCCGTGTCCGGCCGTCCGTGTGGTGACGGATTAGGAATACAGAGTTTCACCCCCCCTATTCATATCGTGGGTGTCGTAAGAGGCGCCTAAGGGAGCAAACTACGCAGGACGACAGCACTGCAGAGAGAAGGAAAACTTGACACAAATCCTATAACAACCCGTCTGGCCAGCGTGGTATAGTAGGCCAAAACCTTTTTTCTAAGAAGAGGCTTATGTCCAGCAGTGGCCTAGTAAAGGCTGTTGATGATGATGACACAAAGCTAAAATTCTTCAGCAATATGTATCATAAAGTTAAATTATGCAGTATCTATTATGATCTGGCATATTATAACAAAAGAGTACAAGAGTGTTTATTTACTTTTTTTAAGATGTATTCAGTATATCAGGGTCTACCCACATTTTCTATCTAAGTTAATAGTAGTTGCATATTTTTTCTGCAAGCTAGTTTTATTTATTTATTTCGTAAACAATATTACATTGTGTTGAAATACAATTATCTTAGTCTAAATTTAATAATAAAACCCAAAAGAACATTCATGAATAATAAATTATAATAGCAAAAAAAATTTAAATTTTAGACAGGCAAAAAAATTAACTTATTAGATTAGTTTTAATGTCAAGAGGTAAAAATATTAAATAAAATAAATTATTGCAAACGTCAATGCAAGTTATTTCATCATGTCATTGCATAAAATCATCAATCGAATAGAAGCACCCCTCCCCCCCTCAACGAGAAACGCCTTAAGTTTGGACTCAAATTTTTTTGCATAAATTATGCATTTTATTTCTGGAGGAAGTCTATTGAATAGCCTGACTTGACTGAGTGCTTGAACAAGAGTCGGTGCTATCATGGATGGCATGTCTTTTATTTAATAGTGCTCTTTGTTAGTATTGTTTGAAGTCGGTTCAGACGTCGGTCGTCGGTCGGTTAAGGTCCGGCCATAAAAGAAATCAGCCATAACCTCTTGCAATGACGTCAGATAAAATAAAAAAAAGACGGGAAATGATGATGATAATATTAATTTTTTGCTACTTAGTTAGTTAAAATATTTTTGATAATAAATCGGTTGAAAACAGTAATTAAATGTTATCGTGACCTCTAAACTTAGACTAAACTTTTTCCTGTTTCTAGCTAAAAAGGCGAAACTAAGATATCATGGCATCAAATATATTTCGATTATAGATTACCTAATAGTTTTAATTGTAATCGATATATGCTTATATATATAAGAGATTTCCACGTATATAGTCACTCATCACGATATCTCTGGAACCATTAGAGCTAAAGACTTGAAATTTGGTAGGAATATTCTTTTAACCGAGTAGAGGTCAGCTAAGAACGTATTTTAAGAAATTCAAAAAATTTTTTTTTTTTAAATAATGTAAATAGCAAAACAACGTTTGCAGGGTCAGCTAGTGCTTATAATAATCGAGATATATATTGATAGTAAATAAATTACATTTACTAATTTGTTTTTTAAGGAAGGTTATCTAATATGATGCTTCGTTTCTTAGGAGGGGTGGTGGAGGGGGGGAGGTACCTTCGAGGTGACGTAGGTGGACGATCTTACAAATTTGCTATACATATTTGGTTATTGTCTACTTACGTCTTATCCCTGAGGGTTAGAGACTAAATCGTCCATATTTTGCCAACCAAAAGTCCTATTTATGTAATAGTTGTTTTACCGTCAACCGGTCACATTTAAACATACTTATAAATTTTTAAATACACATGTTAAAGATAAATTACACCCAGACACATTATCGTGATCATTACACAGTATTTGTAATGCGTGGGAATCGAATCCATGACCCCTGGCTTAGCCATCAATTTCGATAACCATTAGACCAACAGGCCCGCCTTTGGCCAACGTTTTATGAGGAGGTAATCAATTCGGATGTTTATATATTTTTTATGTATGTTCGGGTATAACTCCGTCATATATAGATGGGTTTTCAAAATTCTTTTTTTGTTTTAAATTTCATGTAGATCTGATGATGAGTTTTGGAGAGAGACAAAGGAACTATTAAAAAAATTACAGCAAATTAACCGCGATTGCTGCAGTCGGTTCAACTTTTGTTTTAAAAGATTCATTCTTGTTTCTAGTTAATAAGTGTATGAAGTTCACGGGGCCTTACAGAAAACTGGTAGTTAAGCTTAAAGTTCCCCTCACCCTAATTCGGTGGAGGGGCACTCAAAAAACGGCCAAGCACTTGAGTTGCAGGTGACTATGGGCGGTGATAGCCACTTATCGTCGGGTGACCTGTCTGGGCCTCTGTCTGCTATTTTAATATTGTATCAATAGACTGTCGATGGAATGTCGTCGGATAGTTTTGCACTTTGCCTATTCTACTAAATATGTAAGACCAATGGCTTCCCGATGACTTGTCACTGATACGTATGTCTACGATGTCTTTGTAACCTTTCAAAAAAAACCTTTCAATGATAAAAAACATGTAAAACACATACAAATATTTTACGTAAGTTGAGAATAATATGTATGAACATTAATGAGATTTAAAAAAACGCCACATCAATTTACAGTCTAATAGTGACAATAATCAGTGTGATTCGGACTTTATAACTGTACTTAATACTGTTACTTCCGAACTTTCATAAGAAATAAATTCGTCTATTTCATAAAACTACAATAAACAAAACAATAAAAAGCCAGAATAAAAAAATTTCACTGCATATTATAAAATAAATTAGTGCGCATAACAACAAAAAAAAACAAACAACAGAACACAAAAAAAGTACTCACCCACACAAACAAAAAACAAAACACAAATTAACATTTTGCACATCACTATTAACAACTAAACACTATGTTGAACTACAAATTTGACTAGTTTTGTGGCAGATTAATTTACTATCAATCAGACAACATGGTTATAGTATATAATTCCACCTTTATTACAAACAGAACGAGTTAAATCAAAGCGTGCTATCGCTTACACTAGCGGTCGTCGCGGAAAAACCAGCATCCACTGTCCGTGTGGTGATACCAGACTACACATGTAAATTGCCCACTTGACAAAAATATAGTGGGAACAATTTTTGTGGAGAAATAATTATATTTTGCCTGCATTTTAAGAGTTATATATGGTGTTGCGTATAGTATTATAATAAAACAAGTTTACAAGTATTTTTAAGTTATTATATTTCGTTACTGCGTACCTTGACATCGAAATTTAACTAAACCCTTACACAACACTTAAATCCTCCAACCTCAGAAATCGTTTTTTTTTTTCTAGATGTAAGGGAGGTTGATTAGTTAAATTGTGAATATGTCAAAAACAAACTTGAATACGTAAATAAGCAAATTTTAGACACTTATACAAAACACTTCAAAGATTACTTTTATCTACTTTTACCAGTTTTGTTCCTCATTACGCATCAATGCCATTTCCATCTGCCGCAGCGAAGCATGACAGGGCACAGATAGTAAAAAAAATATATTGTACCTCATTCACACCAGGCCATCTAGTCCCAAACTAACTAACTACTTATTATACATAGAAACACCCAGACCAAAAAAACATTAAATGTTCATGCACACAAATGTTTGACTTGAGCGGGAATCGAACCCGCGACCTTTGGAATAGCAGTCCGTTACACAAACCACTACGCCAATTACTATTGGCGTAGTGGTTTGTGTATTATATTATTGTAAACGATGTGTAATACCATGTCCGAAAGTAGCGAGTCAAATTTTAATGTTAACCTACTGTTAAATAAAGTTGCAGGAGGTTAAGCTACGTTGCTGAAATTGGAATATTTTTCTTTTATTATAAAACATATTTTAAGAAGTACAGACACACAGGAGAAAAGTAAAGTTAACTTTTGATTAATAAAAGTTAACTACTTTACTACGCCTGAAATTATGTTAAAATGTAAAGTTAACCACCACCGACACGCATGACATAGGTCCGTGCGTAATAGCGTAAACTACACATTTGCAGATTTGGCAAATATTTTCTTTTAAAGACGACTCCCGCAGTAGGAATATATATCCTGTGTCGCGGGGGACTTTACAAACATTCACGAAACGGACAAAGAACACCCAGACGAAAATTTTGTAGATCACCCAAAGTGGCGTGGCGATCGCTTAAGCCACTACGCCACTTGTGCAGTTTTGTTATACTTTAATCTAAAATTCAACAGAGCGAATGTCTGTTGTGACATTGGTCAATTGTGACGCATCATGATAACGCAGCACCGATACGGTAATTTCTGATTTAATATGAAAATCACACTACAATTTTTTATTTTACCCCATATTATGGGTACAATTTGTGTAATGGCAATATTAACCTTAATGACAGCAAGACGGGTTCTGTGAGGTTACGTCAACAAACAACAGCGATGATTCTTGGGACCGGGTACTTTTAATATTACCTTATAACATCGAATATATTCTCAAACAATCTTACACTATATGAACAGCTCAATTTGTTTGATATGAGGAAAAATATTAATTTTTATTTCAAGGTAATGTTTGCTCTTGCGGTTGGTAAGTTATAAGTGCATTGAACAAAAAAAGTGCTTATGGAATAGGAGAAGAATTTTTTTTTTCTTTTTGTGGTATAAAGGGCAAACGGCAGACTGATCAACTGATGGTAAGTGAGTACCACCACTCATGAACACGCGTAACTCAAGTGATACGAGTGTGTTAGGTGCCTTGAAAGCTAATTAAATGTCAGAGGGGCCCAGTGGTCCAGTCTAATGATTAGTGAACCTTACTGCTAAGCGAGAGGTCGTGCGTTCGATGCTCACCCAGGACAAATTTGCGTGATGAGCACAATCATTTGTTCTAGTAGTAAGTAATTAATATTAATCGTGAGCGCGTTAATTACCGTAAACATTTATTGTAGAACACGATAGTTTAAAAATTAGTTCTTTCCTTGATTCTGAGTCTGGGTGTAGTTGTGCCACAATGTACCACGCGTCGCTGTGGCACATTGTGGTTGCATTGATGAGAATTGAGGAACAAAACTATCACGAAATATTAAAAAAAAACATATCTAGCTGTACCCTGCCAAGCTTCACTGTGGCATATTGCATACCCCCCCCCCCTCTCCCCCTCCAACCTCCTAACATCACGTGAGACAGCCTAAAAGCCTCCTATACCACAAAAACACAAAAGTATAAGTATTTTTAAGCTTAGAAGCTTTCAATAGATTTTTAAGGAATCTTGAAATGTATAGTGCAGAATCCTTTATTAATGAACTCTTATAACCTTGGTAGAAGTGCGCAGACGCCGAACCGGTATTCATTGCGATATGGCCGCCACTGAACACGCTCACGTTACAGACTTCTGTCAAAATTAAAAAAAAAAACATGTTTATTTGCTAAAAACAAGTTGTTGATTAGAAAAAAACATATTTAGTTGATATAGTGATGCTTAGACATGTTGTCGTGTGTGTTTTTTTTAATTAGTCTTGGTGAGTACACATTATTTTCATAGTTGAACTTAATTAAGATAGACTTAAGATCAGTACTTTATATATTGTGGAAGGAAAATACAGAGTTAATAATACTTTAATATCAAATTTTTAATCAATATCTAATAAAATCTTTTTAATAAACAAGGACAAAAGAGCTTAGTATATTTTCCTCCTTTCGTTTATATTACACCTTTTAAATTAATCTTTGTGTATTTGACGATCAAAGTGTCCTAAATACACAAAAATAAACCGTATTTTGTCTATGTTCGGGATGTAATGTAACCTACAATATTAAAAACAACCAATGAGTTTTGACCTCTGAGCAACAACTGGTTTATATTAATAGATTCTATTCATTTTTTTTCCTTATTAATTTGTTGTCTTGATTCATGATATATTTAGATATTCGTCTTTACAAATTTGCATGAAAGGGTATGAATATTATATTACAAAAATTTACCTACCTGTAAGGTAGCATTTCATTCAATAACTAGCTGTACCTGTTATGCCGATTTTCTCTTTTATTTTAATATTCATACAAGCATTAGCCTAATCAGGCATTAGGTACCTATCTGTGAAAACAACGTAAAAACCCATTTAGCAATTTGGAAGATGTGACAGAAATACTAAGAACAATTCTAAATACCCCTGTTATATTGTCTTTTATTTCATTGGTCTTCTTTTAATTAATAAACAATTGCGATTGTGGTGTTTAACTAAAAGTAGGTATGCACATACGTATGTGTGGAGGAAGAATCCTCCGACCGGGCTAGGTGATCATGACTGGCGGGCCGCGCTCCAACAGTTGATTTTATGCTAATAGGCGTGAGAATTTTTCATATCACGATACAGGATTAGTAGATAGTCCATAGTTCTTTGTGTCTATGTGTATATTTGAAGTATGTTTTTTTTTTGTTTCATTGTATGTGGAAATCGCCACGTAAGTAAGGAGTGTGACTTATCAACACTATGAGTTCGATCATACTAAGTGATTTCCTTGTAATGCTTCACTGGGGAATAACCTTCAACATATTTGTTTCGAAAAATCCAGCGATAAGTACTGACTACAATACTTTCTTTGTCAATCGAAATAGTGCTCAGTCAAAATCGTAGGGACCCCATTATCCTAATGTGCCCAGGGCCTCAAATAAGGCGAGCCTGTTGGTCAATAAAATTTTATGTGGAACCAGGTGTAGGTGGAAGTAATAGTACTCAATTGGAAGGCCGGTCCGTGTGGTGACGGGTTAAGAATACAGAGTGTCACCAGCCCTATTCATTCCAAGGGTGTCGTAAGGGCCGACTAAGGGAGCAAATTCTGCCGGAAAATAGCCCTGCAAAGAGAAGAAAAACTAGAAACAAACCCTATAGCAACCCATCTGGCCAGCGTGGTGTAGTAGGCCAAAACCTCCTTTCGAAGAAGAGGCCTATATCCAGCAGTGGACTATCAAAGGCTGTTGATGTTATGATGTGTGTGTGTGAATTGGAAAATAAATTTTTGTACTTACTGTCACAACTTTTCGACAAGACTATTAGAATTGCTCGAAAATATTATACATATACTATGTATCAGTAAAAGTTAAATTGAGACTTGACCGTTCAAGTAATTTATATTAAATAAAACAAACAAACATCTCCGATCGGCTCGATCCTTTGGCGTTACGTAGAGATGTGGCTTCACTTTGCATTGTCTATCGCATATATCATGGAGAGTACTCCGAGGAATTGTTCGGACTAATACCAATTTTCGCCATCTTTCCACACGGCAAAATTTTCATCCTCATTACTTGGATAGTTGGCGCTCCACTACTGTGCGCTTTTCGAGACACTTTGCATGTTTGTAAAGTCCCCTGCGACACAGGGTATATCCCTAATGCTGGAGTTGACTTATAAAAAATGAAATAAAGTTCTTTGTTTTGTTATTATTTTATTAAAACATACGATGTTTCTTTAATACTGAGATCCAGGCTCTTCCGATAGACCAAGTTTTAAAGCGGCCGGGAGCATTGCCGGTTGACCAGTGATGTTTTGCTGAAGGATAATATTTTTGTTTCAGCAACGACAGCTCTTGCCAGCGGATCCTATTTCTGCGGGTAAGTAACATTTATATATATAAGTACATTTAAAATTACTTGCCATAACTGATTAACTCATTCATCAAAGCAGAGCCTAAACCGCTGTGGCTAGAAACTTGAAATTCATATTCAGCTCATGCTCTTTATGTTGTAAGAACCAGAGCGCCAGAGAGATTTACCCCTAAGGGGAATATAATAAGGGATGACCGGTTGTATGATAGTTATTTTTTTTCAAAGTAAGGAACACGAAATAAGAAATAATAGCGCAGTAGCTTGTATATAATAAATATAAAGTAAAATATACATATTTACATAGTCACGATAGTCATGTATATAATAACTTAATTACCCAAAATAAATACTTTACTGCCTATACCCAAAGAAATAAGATGCCAATTGACAATTACATACATATGTGGCAATATCCAAAGATATACTATAACGCCATCTAGCGATGACGAATTGAACTACGTAGTAACTACTATTCCTGCACCGCGCAATGAAAGTTCTCTGAAATTATACGCATGTATACAATTTCCTGACATTAACCATTTCGTCAGGTTTCACCAGGCCTTGCCTGGTTGGAGGATAATCCCTTAGTGTTGGAGGAACACGGTATATAGAGCAAATGAGCAGACTGGTCACCTGAAGGTAAATTACTCACCGCTAATGGAGGCCTGCAACCCTAGAGACACAAGTGCATTACCGCGCTCTGAGTACCCCCCTAAAACTATGGGGAGAGGGGCAGGGGTCAAACTGGTAGACGTTCATTAAACTTTATTTGTATAACAATCTTAAATCTAAATGTTTTTAATCAGAGGGTTTAGATTGAGGTTGATTCTGTATTTCTTTCATATTTTTGTTTTTATTTTTCAGTACCTCAGCTAGTGCCACAGAATTCAAATGCAAGCAAGGGTCAGATTGTGTCCGCAAAGAGAATGTTTGTGACGGGACTAGAGATTGTGATGATGGAAGTGATGAGGAATTATGCTCCAACTCTCAGTAAGATCTATGGCCTATGATTTTTTTTTAGACAACACCCTTATTAGGAATATATCCTGTGCTACGGAGGACTTTACAAGCATACATGAAACGCATGAGACTCAAAACAACAATTTGTGGACCACAGAAAGTGTCGCCTCATATAGGGTTTGAACCCACAACACTCAACGTGGTAGGAAGCGGCGTGGCGACCGCTTAAACAACTACGCCATACGTGCAGTCAAGATCTTTTCAAGTTATCTTAGGGATTGATATGTCATGCATATATACCAAAAAATAAACAAAACCAAAACGGTCAGCCTGGTTAAAAGTTGTTGCTCAATCAAATATTGTATGTCCCGGTGTTTATATGTTGTGACTTAACGAGCAGAAAAAAAATGCCAATACATTTAGATTGTTTAGTTTGTACACGGAGTTATGTCTTAATTTATACAAAGACTTGTTTATCCATCTGTGTTTGCACGTAAAAAGAACAGTTAAATGTTACTGGTTTGCATATTCGCGGTAAAATGGCAAAACATTCAGTAATTTATAATCCATCTCCATAACGAGGTGACGGCTTGTGAGCTTTAATGCTTACAAATACAAGAACAAGAGCAATAATTTACTGGCCTGTAAGTCTGGTGGTTAATGACCCTGACTGCTAAGCCGGAGGAGGGTTCGATTCCAAACCAGGACAAGTATTGTGTGATGAGCACGATCATTTGTTCTGTGTCTAGGTGTAATTTAAATATAATATGTATGTATTTAGAAATATACAAGTATGTTTATCAGCAGGTTGATTACCATAGTACAGGCTCTGTCTAGTTTAGGATCAGACTGCCATGTGTGAGATGTGTTAAGTTATTATTATTAATTGGTGATAGTGATATCCTTTCAGGTCCAAAACTTGTATTTTACCACCATACCCAGCCCATGGCACGTACGAAGTATGGAACGCACCTATAGATCGTCTAAAAGGGCCTGGGCAATCTTTCGAGTCTTTCCTGCTGAAGCTGAAATGTGATCCTGGGTATGGCGTTACGGAGCCAGGGTTCGAATCAGATATTAACGGCGTCCGAGATATATACTGTATAAACGGCAAGTGGTCTCAGAAAATGGCAGAATGTGAGCGTAAGTATTTTGAAGTGAAAACTTCTTTAGCGGCGTTGTACACTTTTTTTTGTAATGGGTAAAAAATGTTAAACTCGCGTCAGGACACGTGACCTGATCGAAAATTCGTAAGACGGATGAAGAGTGCCTGCGCCTGCTGTTTCGTTTAGGCGGCGCAGGGCGCTTGCGCGAATGTTCGTGTGTGTTTACACGTACAGCGTGCCACGCGCATCCATGGATGGTGACAGCGTCTCGATAAATTGTCATGTTTGTGTACGTAGCGCAATAAATAAATATTGTATTCTACCACATAAATGATAGTACTTTTATACTGATAATTAAAGCCATTCGTGCAAAATTATTGCCTAACCATTCCAAAATATCAATAAACCCTTTTAAAAAAAAGTTGAACCGACTTCAAACAACACCGACAAAGAGCACTAAAAATTAAAAAATAATTACAAATCTAAGTAAAAAACTATAATAAGTACCCTCAATGTAACAGGTAACATTATAATACCAATAGTCCCTTCTAGTCTGTTTGAAGTCGGTGCCAAGCTCGATGCACAATAAGTAATACTGGTCTATGTCAGATTTATATTAGCACAATGAAAAATTAAGAATTCAAAATAATTCTAATGAAACATCGAAGATTTTGTTAACGGACGGTTGCCATGATTTGTTTGGCTAAAGAAATACTCGTAGCTAAAACACGTTGTCGGGGCTGTCAAATTCCCAATAATTGTGAGGGTTTCACTCGATTTCTCTAGGATCCCATTATCAGATCCTGAATTGGTGGTAATGGGACCAATTCGGGAGCATACCCTTTCGATTACAAAAAGAATTTTGAAAATCGGTCCACAATTGACGGAGAAATCGCGTAACAAACATACATAAAAAAAAATACAGACGAATTGAGAACCTCCTCTTTTGTGTTTTGGAAGTCGGTTAAAAATGCACAACGTTAATATTCAAGTTTTCACTTCTGCCGGCACTCCCGGAGTGCAACCCGTCGTTTTTTTTACTCTGTATGATATCGGCCTGTTTTTAATTTCTATGGGAAGAAAAAAAAAATGAAAGATGTTAAAAGTTGTTGTTGTTTTAACATCAAAAAACGTAATGAATTTTCTTATACATGCAAGTTTATTCTAAGTTTGGGTAGCAATGTTCATTTCACATTAGTACAGAAATGAATGGTGAAATAATAATAGTAATATTTCACCACATTCACACAACACCATCCAGTCCCAAACTAACTATTTTAATAACGTTCATTACATTTTGTGTATCTAATGAAACAACATAAAAAATTAAAACAAAAACAAAATAATAACAATCGCTAGATATTTGTATAAATATTTAATAATGATTAAATAAGTTACATACGAAAATGAAACTCTATCACGCTTAAATAAACTTTAAGCGTAATAGAGTTTCATTTTTGTTCTTAAATCAATCTACCATTTCCAGGATTCTGCAAATTGGACCCAGACCCCAGCGTCCGTTTCATTTGTGGAGGAAGATTATGTAATACTTACGTACCGCCAGGGACAGTGGTTAATCCCATCTGCAACAGTCCCGTCTATTATTCCACTGAGGGGCTCCTCTACATGACTTGTATAGGCGGATCATGGGACTACGTCGCTCGATGCAGAGCAGGTTGGTTTTTTTAGTGAACACCTTCGGTAGTAATGCGATTTTCTGTAATAAGAGAGAATTGTAGGGAAGTAGGGATATTTAAGGATTCTGCCATATTCAAAGTAAAGTCATTGAAGGGATTTTCAACCCGATGTCACCTATCTGTCTGTATATTCAAACCGTGTTCAGTAGTCACACTGATATACCAAAACATTCTATTTTCAGACTGTGGTCGAGTTACTCCTAATGGTGTTCAGCTGATTATTGATGGTAAGGCATCCAAACGTGGCGAGCTACCTTGGCATGTTGGTATCTACCGGAAGACTAGCAAACCCTTCACCCAAATCTGTGGTGGCTCTCTCGTCTCCAACGATGTGGTTATTTCTGGTAATATTTAATTATTCTTCTTCTTAATATTCAGTAATTTATTTGAATGAAATGAAACTAACTTGATGATATGTTGTATATATCTTACAAAGAATTTAAGAGATCATCTTTTCTCTAAATTGGGGAATCTTTGTAAGAATTCTAAAGAATATTATAAGATTCCAATGTAGTTGTTATATTTGTTTAAGATCATTTTGTTCTCTTTACTGATTTAAATTCGTTTTTAACGGACTCAATAATCTCCATCCGTGTCTTTTTTAATATTTGTTTACTCCGTCATTTATCAAGCTATAAGAAGATCTCTTTTTTATTTGGGAGAACATAGTTTGCGGTTAGACTTATTCAAATTTGAAGATAAAAATCCATCCCTATGGTCAGCAAATAAAGGAAAGAAGAAAACACTTTACAATTCATCATAATATATCTAGTTTTTGTTCTTTTCTCAGCCGCTCATTGTTTCTGGAGTGATTTGAAGAAACTACAACCCGCGTCTGATTTTGCCGTAGCTATCGGCAAATTACACCTCGATTGGAATGACTCAAGAGATATTGATGTTCAAAAATCTAACGTAAGTGGTTTTATGGTAGTTTTAAGAGACACTGAGGTCAGATTGATTACTATGTAATAATTTAGGGAATTCCCGTAACTCAAATTCTTAAATAGTGTAGGTATGTGTTCTGTGAATTCTTTTTCTGAAATTTTATAAAACTTTTTAATGTATGTTTTTTTTACTATTTATGATGTTTTTATATAACGTGTTACAAAAAGGTGTGATCAAATTTTAGGACCGTTATGTGTAGTTGTAGTATTAGTAATTAATTAGCCTTAAAAGTTAAAAATTTAAGCTGCTCTGTTATAAGCTTTACCGATCAATTTTCTGGTTCCATTTGTCAGTTTCTTAAGACGATTTTTGTATTAATATGCCTAAAATAGTGCTTTCCTACAGGTAGCCTGAAACAACTTAACAATTTTATAATGCATATATAGGAAGCTAGACAAAAAGTATTTCCGTCGATAAAGACATAAATAGTATTCATGATTTTAAGGGATTTTATTAAGTGTTTTTACAAACATATCCTTCCTTTTCTTCTTGCCACCCGTTCCTATCTTTTTTTTCTTCCAGGTAAAAAAAATTTCAATACCAAGATTATTTGAGGGCGTGCAAGCCAACTTCCAAGAGGACATAGCAGTCTTGATCCTCACAACCTCTTTCGTCTACAAGACGTACATTCGGCCTGTTTGCCTCAACTTCGACGATATATTTGACAGACTGCAGTTGCAGCATGGAAATTTGGGCAAGGTTGGTACAGCAAATGCTCTTGTATATGTAGAAGCTTTTTAAGTTATTTATTTAATTCTTTATGCACAAATACGATAAGTACAATGGCGGACTTAATGCCACAGACATTTTCTCCTAGTTTACCTGAGGGTGGTGCGGAAATGTGTGATTAGGTACACTAGACATTGATGTGTGAAGTAAGAGAAAATTATTAAGAAGTTAGACAGAGACAATGAGATAAATATTTATCTCATTGTCTCTGTCTTTTGTATATCAAAGATACGTGCTAACTTCATACATAATAATATATATAAATACTTACTTAGTTACATACATACATACATATACTTTTTCTTTTTTAAAATACGACTTATATTCGACGACGCAGGATATATTCCTAATGCCGACGGCATTAGGAATATATCGCGATAGACTTTACAAACATACATGAAACGGACACAAAGAACACCTGGACTCAAAACAACAAATTGTGGATCACACCATCCGTGCAGTCACTTGTGTACTTATATATTAATAATATATAAAATAAATAATAAATTGAAGTCGGTCAAATGAAACCATCACCAGCATCACAGCAGGCTGTTGAAGGACATTTGATGCAAAACAATAGACAGGTTTCCTTTATTCTTTCAGTTAGCTGGTTGGGGTCTTACATCAGTAAATGGTGGTTCAGCTCCTTATCTTCAAGTAGTTCAGTTGCCTTTTATCAGTGAAGGAGTCTGCATTAAAGCTCTGCCAGCTTCGTTTAGGCCGTACATCACTGGTGACAAGTTTTGCGCTGGGTATACCAATGGTGAGTATATTAGTAATCTACAAAGTATTCGAATATCCTGTCTATGATAAGTAATTATTAAAATAAGCAAAAACGAGACTGCGTACAAAATTGCATACTTATTTACGATCTGTTTTTTTTTTTTTTAATTTTTGGAACGATTATTGTAACGATAAATATGTTGTTTGTTTTTAGTGTTTCTTGTTCCAAATTACATTTAAATATTGAAAATGCCCAGATTCCTGTAAGACATTTATAAAAGCCTTTAAAATCACTAACAGGATTTGAAAAAAATATTTGAAAGCCGCTTAGACTACCAAGCGCACCAATGCAAACGAGCATTTGAGACACCGGTGGTTACTGACTAAAGCCGTCTGCGACTGTGCCTGTGACTTTTTTCACTTTTTTTGTGTGGTGTCTGAAGACACCACACAAAAAAAGTGAAAAAAGTTTCACACCGGTTTGTTTTGGTAAATTTAGTATCCTCTGGTGTAAAAAGGTCTACTCAATAAAGATTATTGAGTTTAAGTTTGATCATGGTATCAGTCCGTTTGAGTCAGCCCAAATATGGCGAAGAAAAAAAAAAAAATAAAAAAAAAAAGTCGTTCTTGGTACATGTGCAAATATTCAAGTTGATTGAACGCTTGCAAACTCTTAAGCCAGTCTCTCAAGGTCAAGTTAATATGTAAAATTTAAAAAAATGTTTGCAGGTACGGCCGTATGCAAGGGTGACAGTGGCGGTGGTCTAGCGTTCCCAGAGAGGGAGCAAGGTATGGACCGCTACTATCTGAGGGGCGTTGTATCCACAGCGCCGAATCTAGAGGACCAGTTGTGCAACGACAAGTCTTATTCCACTTTTACGAAGATTACTAAACATCAGGAGTTTATTAAGAAGTATGTTTTACTATAATAATTTTGTATTTATAAACTGTTTTATTTTTATCTAGTTGTCTGTCTATTAAAAAAAATCTTTTTTGGATAGTCTTAGTGGTCCGCTCCGTTCTAACGAGCTATGAGGAGTAAGCGGATTTACTCCTCATTACTCATGTCAGTGCGTGTGATGACGGTTTAAGGAAACGGAGTGTCACCACCCCTATTCATCCCTTGGGTATCGTAAGAGACGACTAAGGGATCAAACTACGCAGGACAACAGCACTGCAAAGAGAAGGAAAACTTGACACAAACCCTATACTAACCCGTCTGGTCAGCGTGGTATAGTAGGCTAAAACCTCTTTTCTAAGAAAAGGCCTATGTCCAGTAGTGGACTGTTAAAGGCTGGCGATGACCCGTTTGAAGCAGGGGTCACTTGTACTATCTAAAGAAGATTTTTTTTATGGTATAGGGATAAACACCTACACCTCAATAGACACAAATGTGTTGCTGCCTTTTAAGAGAAGGGTTATTTCTTGAGTATTCTCAGTCTCACACTCACTCGGTGAAAAGGAACGAAGAAATTACTTTCCACTGGTTTTCTGTGAGGTCGTAGTATCACGCCGGTCAAGCCGGTCTATATATGTTGAAGCATAACTCTTCCACGGATTAGGAGTTTCCTGATCTTGTTCTAGGTCCTCTCCATACTTAAACGCAATTATTTTTAATATTTTTGAAACTTTCAAATAATACAACTAGGATTAAGTGCATATTTCATTCTTATCTCAGACCTATTTCTTAGCATTCCATGGGCAACACATGCGACTTCGACAGCGCCTAGGAATTGCGACCCAGGAATAAGTTTAGGGTTTCTACTATCTATATTTACAAAGAATTTTCAGAGAATATGGCAAGGCAAGTGACTTCAAGAAAAGATGATACTTTGCTTTTGTCTGACTTGGCGGGGACACTGTCAGGCTTTTCGACATTATTAGCATTCCATGGGCGACACATGCGACTTCGACAGTGCCTGGGAATTGCGACCCAGGAATAAGTTTAGGGTTAGGTTTCTACTATCTATATTTACAAAGAATTTTCAGAGAATATGGCAAGGCAAGTGACTTCAAGAAAAGATGATACTTTGCTTTTGGTTTGACGTGGCGGGGACACTGTCAGGCTTTTCGACATTAGTATAAATTCCCATAGTTAAAAATGAGAATACTGTTCCAAACAAACACGAAAATTCCAGAATCAGTCACGCGTTACTTGCAGCGCCATCTAGCGCTGTAAGGATCAGAACTACTCGTATTAACCACAATCTTAATAGATGTACTTTAGTCGATACTAGATGATGCTGTTCTCCACATTTCATACAATCGAACCATATAATCCTATGGCGCAACAATACCAATTAACTTGTCATACGAGTAATTCTTATGAGTGTGACCAAGTTAGAGGCCGAAATCGGTGTTTTGTCAAGTTTTGTCAAGGCGAGGTGATCATGTATGGTAGACCAACCATCGATGGTATGAAGTTTTTTACGCGTATATGTATATTATTTTTATTATTGTTATTTGAAAAGACAACACCCGCACTAGGAATAAATCCTGTGTCGCGGGGGACCCCACAAACATACATGAAACGGACACAAAGCCCACCCAGACTCAGAACAACAATTTTTGAATCACACAAAGTGTTGTCCCATGTGGGGTTTGAACCCACAACACTTGGTGCAATAGGAAGCGGCGTGGTGACCGTTTAAACCACTACGGCATCCGTGCAGTCAATATTAAACAGCGCAAGAATTTTCACTGCACAATACAGAATTAGTAGTTACTCTTTTCACATGATCTTCTTTATTAGATACTGTTTGAAATGTCTCATCTTTGTTTCAGTGCGCTCGCTGAAGCAATATCATTAAAAACCTGTCCGAGAGGTCAAGAGGCAACTTGTAACCCGGTAAGAAATTTGTATAACATGATTTGGTTAATTTAAACAAAAAAATATTAATAAGAAAGTGTTTTACTTAAGTGTTATACTTAAGAGTATACTTAAGTACGTTGTCAGAGATACGTATGAAAACTTTTCCTGAATTGTTTTATCCTTACTGACGTAAGGAAGCCGTGGAAAGAGTTAGTTAGTAATAATTCTCTCATTGAAGTAGATACAAGATGGATCGCCGAGGGTTCGAAAATCAATGGTTAATATTTATATTTTTGTCAACAGAACCCACCGTACGTGGAAGATTCTGATGGACCTAACAATGGCGGTGTCATACCAGTTCCACTGTTAGTCCCTCCTTCCTCAACGTAAGATTTGCACTTAATTTTTGTTACTAGAAATTGTGAGACGTAGAAATATCAAAGAAAATACGCTTCTAGTGATGTATTTTGTCTGTACGCCTGTTTTTGCACTTCCTTACTTCATCGGGTCTTTAGTCGTTTATTGAAATCGAGGGACTTAAACCAGAAAACGTATATTAATACGAGTAGCAACTCGGATATAGCCTTTAAACGAAGGACTTCCTTCTAGAAATCCTAAGAGACTTGCGTTACTCAAATAGTATAGTCAAAATATTTCAGTTTTGAGCCTATAACGTGTCCGATCCAGAACAGATTACATAGAACCTCAATTTCAGACCTGCTTCTCTTGAAATGACATCTCTTCCTCTCTCTACCTTGAAGCCAATAAATTGATTGTTGTTTTCAAATCCTCCTATAAAATGAGTCAAAAGAGGAATTCGACGCCTTCCTCCTCTGAAATATGGAGAGTCACTTTCTTTTTTGATGCCATGTTGAAGTGTAAATGCTGCATAATCAACGCAATTCCTAAAATATCTCGCATACTTTATTACCACAAAATTAGTTCAGTTTAATAGGTGTTTCTTATTTCAGGTCAAACGATCCATACGCCTGTATTCTTCCTCCTCAACCTAAATCTGGATTATTTGAAATCAAAACTAATCATAAGGACAACGAATTTTTCGTCCTTAACGTGAAATGTAACCCAGGATACAGTTTGGAGAATTCGGATGGCTCTGTTGACAGGGGCGGTATGAAGCAGGTCAGTTGTTTCTATGGGAAATGGAACCGGAATATGCCAAGATGTATTTGTAAGTATTCTGAATTACACACCTTCTGTTTAATTAAGTAATAAGTTGAGAGAAAAAATATTTAATTTAAGCAGTTCTAAGTCTTGAACAAGATAACTAATCTTAGTTTAGGTATTAGAAGTTTAATGTGTGTATTTGTATAACGTAGTCACGTAACGTGTTGCTGATGCGATTCCAGGATGCACCAGCCCTGGTCCCAGGTCACTGACTGTGTGTACAAAATAGGGTCATCGTTAGCTCAGCCCTTTAATATCTCTTATAATCTTTGAATTTATTTTGGAGTAAGGTTATATATTTTTTTATTATTACTTGTTTTACTTTAGCATTTGACGGGTCTGTTTGTTTAGTGGTCCAGATCCTGACTGCTAATCCTAAGGTCGCAGGTTCGATTTACACCTAGGAAAAATATTGTCTAATGAGCACGATCATGTTTTCTGTCATGTAATGTAGCGTCTGGTTGTAATAATACAGGCTTAGCCTAGTTTGGGACCAGACGGCTAAGTTATTCGCACAAGATTTACAAATGCATTGCCGAACTTTGAAGTGACCTTTTGTCTTAAAGGTCGTATCAGTCGCATTACTGTGTTACCATTGTTTTCCACTTAAAATGGAATGACCACTTCTATGATAAATATCAATACCTAAATTTTTCTAGCAACTAATAATCGTTTTTTTTTTGTCAGAGTAATTTTCAACGTCAAGTATTCTGTATAGACCGCAGTAAGACGCGCCGCTGAAGTCAAGAGGAACCATCAACTGTGATAGCTTCTTGAACCAAACCTTAACCGGTTTGAAGTAAACTTTAGCAATAAATTGATTGAGAGGATATTACGCGTAAGATATGAGATTAGATTCTGTGTATGGTACTCGAATTTTCGATCGTAGTTGATCGAACTCGTATACTCAATTTAATATATAGAGACTGACGATAATATATTATATTAGTGACATTTATTCGCGTAATATCCTTTTAAAAGTTTGTCTATGGGTGTGTTTTATTTCACGATAGTTTCTTGAACCATTTAGAGTGATTACGAGTGTTACGAGTGTTTATCTTCAAGCTTCCGTGTGGTGACAGATTAAGAATACGGAGTGTCACCATCCCCATTCATCCTGTTTTTGTGATAAGAGCTGGTTAAGGTACCAAACTACGTAGGAAGAACAGCACTGCATAGAGAAGAAAAACTTGAAACAATATGCCTACCCGTTTGACCAGTTTGATATAGTAGGCCAAAACCCCCTTTCTAAGGAGAGGCCTATGTCCAGCAGTGGACTATTAAAGTCTATTGATGATGATGATGATGGTCTTCAAGCGAAGTCTTTTTTAAAACGAGACTGGCGGTAATTTGTTTGACAAAGAATCAATCAATGAGAAAAATGACCGGGAGCCATTGTACAAACGGCGTCAAAAGACTGTTCTTTATGCTTGAATTCATAGGCTTAAGAAGAAACGTAAGATTGGTAGTAATATTGTCATGGCTAAAGTTGTAACAATGATGATGATGAACATTTAGTGTATTTTAGCTATTTTCATAGTGAAATGCCATATAATATTTTATTGATGGGAAATGCTGCTAACATTCAAAGTATCTTTGTGTTGCAAAAGAGAGCTTTTCGCGAAATTTATAATCTCAGTTATAGGCAGTCACTGAGGGATAAGTTTAAAGAATTTGGTATTATACAGTCGCATCTCATTATATATATGAAATTTTTGTGTAAGTATATCAAGAAAAATATTCATTTATTCACAAAGTTTAAACAAAAACAAATTCGAATTATTAATTTTTTTTTCCAATCGATTCAAATATGACGGCACTCTGAGGTAACAAAAACATTGAGTTTATATCAATGAACAAAAATTATATTTTATTTTTGTAACAATTCCTAATTACTCAAGAACAAGTAATTAGTCGAATACACGCTTTATAACTTGGTATTAATGTTTAAACTGAGAGGCAATTAAAATTTGATTTGAGTTGTAATTGCACTGTACAGTGATGGAAATGCGTGTGATATTACTTCAAAAATATTATCAAGCTTACATTTAATATGACGCCATTTTATTAAATCTAACACGTAAACTTTACTTAACAAATTCTTGTATAATCATAATAATTATGAAATTTTTTTTGTATTCATAACCTTGAGTTTTATTAACACACCGAACTAGAGAGTTACTTACTACTAATCCTGCGTCGAGCAATAAAAGATTTCGAAGCCAAGTTTGAGTTTATTTAACATCAACTTGATCGTCACGGTGATCCTGTCCGGCGTTGCGATTCGCCCGCACTGAACTCTTCACCAATCGCAACCCCGAGCGCGGACGCCGTCGAGAATGAGTTGATGTGAAATAAAGTCACTAGGCCCTCAGATTAGTATACTCGTATGTCAGGTGAGTCATGTTTGAGATGTATTCTCCGAACATGACTCACCTAGTCGAAAGATCCATTTAACTTAGAGGACACAACACCCGTGCCTCTATACGAACATATCTAATAGATTACTTAAAATAAATTTCCATCACTCAGAACACAGACAAAGTTATAACATTCAAGAGGAATATTGTAAATAACTTATTGCCTAATTAAAAAAATTAAATACTTTACCACCCTGCTAGAAGCGCCATTTACAATTTCGAATATTGTGACGTACAACCGCCTTTATACCTATTTTTTTAAGTTATAACCCTGATCACACTTGATGATATAATTATTCTAACAAAGACATACATCTACATCTGTTCAAGCATTTAGAAGTTATGGCAGAGTATAAACAAACTGCCAAACACCTGCATACGGACAAAACCTCTGAAAACATTGTATTAATTTTTAGCGTAGTCATACTTTTGAATTTCAGAAGCAAAAACATAAAATAAAAATAAAATAGATGAAGTTGAAGCATTCATTCTGAAAGTGGCAAAATTTAATAGTGATGTTACACGGGTAGAAGATGCAAACGTTAAAGTCAGAGGAAGAAGATACAGTTTAAAACTATTCGAACGGCTTGTGAGACACCAACAGACACTAGACAAGATGATACAAGAATATGGAGAGAACACGAAACGAGTTGAAGAATTAAAGTATTGGATGCTATGCTCTTTAACGCGGTGAAAGATGGCGCTCTTGTGAACTAATTGTTAAAGCTCAGAAAAGAGTAGAGATGAAAAGAGTTTGAAACCTAAATATTAATACAAGACGCTTTTCGTTTTTTTTTATTTTAAGTAACCATTGTCACAATCCCCCATAAGCAACGGTAGTAGAGGAAAATTACATCATAAATTCTAAATAAAAAATTGATAAAAGAAAACTATTTGACACTATGCATTCATGATTTATGTTTTACATGAAATCACACACTCATACATTGGTGACAGAAACCAGCTAAATAAACTTCCTGAGATCTTCCAATCTGGATCACTTAAGTAATCCTTTTCTTGGTCAACGAAGGATTGTGTTGGAACTACATACAAACCGCATATTGACACTATTTATTCTGCAAAACAAAATACAATAAATTAGAGGGTTATATCACGCAACACTATTTATATCTGACATAAGTATAGACAGATTGTAATGTGCAGTTTGCTGCTAAAATAAGGATACTTAGATGCTTCTGGTTTTGTAAGTACATAATGTTTATTTTATTTACTAATGCAAATTGCAAATAGCAAAGCTACAAAGCACATGTTTATCTTCTGGAAATCTATAGAGTTATAAATTTAGGAGTGTACAATGAAACAGTTACACTCGGTTAATGTACACGTCCTCAAGGCCTCTTTAATCGACGGACCAAATAATAATTTACATGACTCCTGCCTCTTCTAGCTATTGTGGCTTCAGTCTTGTTTCTTATTCAAGACTTGCGGTATACCTTGACCCTATCAACATAAACAATAGAATTCAATAGTGAACTGCTGCATATAGGCCTCTCTTTAGAACGGAGGTTTTGGCCTACTATCCTACTTTTGAGCGTAAAATGTTTCCTTTTTCATGGAGGGTCGGTATCAGGCAGGTAGCCAATCCATTGCAATGTTACGCATTGCAGTGTCTTCAAAAACAATGTTTAAGGGCAGGAAGATGATTTCAAAAGCAGTCAAAATTAAAGGTGATGCCTAGCGAGGGGGATTTAGTTCATCATGTCTCACTATACCTTCAAAAGTCTGTGTTGTTTCGATTACCGTCGCTATACTAATACAATTTAAATTTAAGCATATGAACTTTACATCATCACATCCCATCAACAGCCTTTAATAGTCCACTGCTGAACACAGGCCTCTCCTTAGAAAGGAGGTTTTGGCCTACTATACCACGCTGGCCAGACGGGTTGGTATAGGGTTTGTGTCAAGTTTTCCTCTCTGCAGTGCTCTTGTCCTGCTTGGTTTGCTCCCTTAGTCGCCTCTTACGACACCCACGGTATGAATAGGGGTGGTGACACTCTGTATTCTTAAGCCGTCACCACACGAATGACCTTACCTCTTTGCAATCAGCTTCTTGATCTTCACAAGTATCATCGTCACATTGGAACATATACGGTGGGCAACTCTTCACCAAATTGGCATCGACAAGCGCGCTTTAAAAAAATGAAATTTAGAAAAGTTGTTATGGTGAGAGACAAGGAAATTCCTACTACACCGGGAAAATAATACAGTAAAGGAAGAAGGGGTACAATATTATAAGTAGTGTCATATGGGAATCTTGTTATTGCAGTTAGATTATATTCCACATCAATTATAAATGCCACAGTTTTATTTATTTGTGTCACGCATGTGTTTTATACGATATTAACAAGTCATCTATGTAAACAATAATAAACTTTCGGTGGTTTGACAGGAGAATAGATCAGTTTAGTATGGAATAAAACTCAAAGAATCTACATAGTTCCATTACAACACTTACTTTTTAATGAAATCCTCGTGTCTCCTGATTCTAGTAAACGTGGTATAGGTTTTGTCATTGCACAATTGATCTTCGAGGTTAGGAGCTGTAGACACAATGCCTCGAAGGTAGTATCGATCAATTCCTTGTTCTCGTTCAGAGAAAACTATCCCACCGCCACTGTCACCTTTACATAGAGCGGTACCTGCAAATAGTTCAATGAAAACTTCGTGTACAACTGGTTCTAACTATTTGAGGTCTCCAATAAAATTACTTTTAAAGCAATTGTGACAAACTCAACAAGTTCATAAACGACGTCATGTTTGGGTTTTTTGAAATGAATAGGCAAGCTAAAAAATAAAACTCATTAGCCACTTGAAATTCTTGGAATATAAGAAAAATACACAGAATTTCATTAAATCATAATCCTTCTTTAGACGAGTATAAATAAAACTTATTTACAAATATTATCTTTGCACTTGGTAATTTTATTTTGACATGATATAAAATGCAGGATTCTGATAAGAATTCTTTAAAATCTTATAGAAACTGTGTTTTGGTATAATTTATTTCTACTTGTCTTGTAGCTAAATGCAGCTTACCATTGGTATATCCTGCACAAAACTTATCTCCAGTAATATAAGGCCTAAAAGATTGTGGGAGATCATTAACACATGATTTTTCATTGATGAATGGCATCTCAACTACTTGAAGGAACTGAGAGGCGACTCCATTGGCTGCTGTGAGTCCCCAACCAGCTACCTAAAAGAATGTTTCAAGTTTGATTGTCAGATATTATTTATTTATACTTTCACATAATGATAAGTAAATGGGTCCAAGAATACAATACCTCTGACGTCAGTCACGTATTTTTAATCAATACCCTATACTTTAAAATTGTGATGTCCGTATTCTCTAGCAGATAATAAAAAGAAGAGCAAATCTGTACTAGATTAGACCAAATGTAACTACAGCCCAAATAATAATTCTGAGTTTGTTTTATTTCACGCAATACCAAAAATTCAGAACCTAAGAACTATAAGACATGCGAGTCTTATGGTTTCCCGCGTCATCTCAAAAGTCTTCCTTTTAAATAGATTGGTTGAAAATTCTTTGGAGAATTGAAAGGAGTTAGAAAGAAAATTTAATGGTGGCAGTGATGGCGCCTACCTTTCCAAAATTGCCTTGTTGGAGTTGCAATGTATCGAACACGATGTCAAAGTTAAGACACACAGGCCCTACATATGTTTTATAAGTGAAGGGATTGGTCAGAATCAAGAGAGCTATATCTTCTTGAAAGTTTGCTGCTGCTCCATGAAATAGAGCTGGAATTCTTATTTCTTTTACCTGTAAGCACAAAAGCGTGGAGTAGTAAACGGAAGAGGGAAAAACTACTGAAATAATTAATTAAGCCTAAAGGTTTAGGATTAATTAATAGTGTAAAAAAATATAGTTTTAAAAAACTAAAAAACAGGCTTTCTATAGAAAACCAAAGTAAAAAAATAGAAAATAAGTTTGAAAAAAAGCGTGGGGTGCTTTTTACTATTGACAACAGGCACCCAACGCTTTTTTTCAAATTTTATTTTCTATGTTGTAATATTTTTTTTTAAATTAGTGTATTGTCATCGGTCCTCGATATATCTACAAAGTTTGAACGAATTCTGACCGTTTAAAGTCAGTCAAAATCACGCCCAAAGGAGTCGGTTACAAACATACAAACAAACATACAAGTGAAGCTAATATAAAGCGTGTAAAAAGGTAATAGACAATATATAATAAAAGGTAATAGACAAAATTTTAACCATTGAATAAGGGTTTTTGACGGCCTTGTTATCTTAATGGTTATTGATGTAGATTATTATGTTGTGTTCGATACTGTATCTACGATCTCTGGCTCACCTAAGTTGACCCTAAGGTCCACTCCAATAACTACATGACAAGCATGATCACTTCTTATGTCAGTATATAGTATTAGTAGTCAGGTTATCATCGGCTTTGCTTAGTTTGGAATCATGTCGCCTTTTTGATATGTTTCAAGTCATTTATTTGTTAAAAAAAAGTGAGCAAATCCAACAGAATACACAAGAAAATCAAACTTACAGTAAAAGTAGGTTAAATGTAAATAATTCTACTAAAAGATAATCTTAAATAGTTAAAACAAAAGAAAATACATTTTTACTTGTCGATTTACTAATTAAATATCCATTACAAGACATAATTCTTCTTAATAAATTGGTTGTTTGGTAAAAAAACTATCGAACCATTTCGAATTGTATAGTTACAACAGAACTTACGTCAACGTGCAACATAGTCCCAGGTTCCCGATTTGCACTTCATGTATAAGAGACTTTCAGTAGAGTAATAGATCGGTCTGTTGCAGGTAGGGTTTACCAGTCTTCCAGGTGCTACGTAATTCTTGCAAACTCTCCCATAGCACATGTAACGAATGCTGGGGTCTGGATCTAGCCGGCAGAAGCCTAAAAGAGTTACATCGATTATTGTGATGTTCTTTCAGTAAACGACAGATGCAATGGTTTGGGTCTATGACCACCTGTATACAAAGCTGTGAATCGCCTGTGCTTGTGGTCCGCATGTGATCAAGATCGGGTTTACTTTGATGAAACTTATTACACTTTAAAAGCTATATGAGGATTCTGATTATTTTAATCAAAAGTACTCTTTACAATATCATCTATCGTTTATTACCGAGACTCTTTCTTAACACATCAAATATTTGTTAACTCAATGTTTGTTACCGAAGCATATGATATGTTTTCATGCTCTGTACTGGCACTAAAAACATAAAATAAGAATATTAATTTATTGACAGATATACAGGACATTTAAGTTGGTACACATACATACATACATACAAAATAAATTAAATTTCATTTAAGAAAACCAGTTTTGGAAACTCACGAACGCATTTAGGCATAGGAATCGACCACACGTTGTTTACACAGAACACGTTCAACGTTCCATTATAACCATTATCGTAATCTTCTGTCATTCCGTAGCCCCGAGCACAGGTGACCCTCAAAGCAAAGAACTGCAGTGCCTGACCAGGTTCTGTGTTGTTAACTTCTGGTGCGTGATAAAGTTCATACGTCCCATGAGCAGGATAGGGTGGAAGTATGCAGACAGGTTTTGGTGGTCTGAAAAAAAGCCCCTATAAAAAAAATTGCTTTGACTTATCGTTGCCAAAAAGCAATAACATTTAATGTGTTCATCAAATCTTTATTATCCAGTCATTTTTTAACTTATACACTTAATGTAGTTTCCGCTGCATATTTTATGTTTTCTGATTTTGATCACCTTTAGAGAATTGAAATATTCTTACCAGTTTATAAATAATATAATTCTTTATTCTACTTACTCTTGGCTCATGCAGGATCCTTCATCACTACCATCACCACAGTCTTTGGACCCATCACAAATGTTTTCCTTTTCAACACAATCGGATCCTTGGAGGCATTTAAACTCTCTTCGACTAGAATAGCCGTTACTGGGAACGAATTTAGTCAACTATTATATTAAAGTTTATAGCACTACACATGAAATTACCGGTTAAATTAAATTTACCTAACTGTGGGAGTGCCATGTCTTAGCACATCATCTTTCTTTTTTAAAGACTAATGCCGCACTAGGAATACATTCTGTGTCGCCTGGGACTTTACAAACATACACGAAACGAACGCAAAGAACACCCAGACTCAGAACAACAATTTGTGGATCACACAAAGTGTCGTCCCATGTGAGGATCGAACACTCAGCGTAGTAGTAGTAAGCGGCGTGGCGACCGCTTAAACCTCTACGCCATCTGTGCAGTCAAATTATAGGCCGGCTCGACCAGAGCGATAATGCAGTTTCACGGCAAAACTACTTTAAGTCATCCTGTAGTTTGACGATCCTCTAGTTTGATCACTCTAGATCAAACTAGAGGATCGTCTTCCTCCCCCTTAAATCTGGAGAGGGGCACTCAAAGCCCGATACGAAATTCTGGCTCTTAAGTTGCAAGTGTTCAAGAGGGATGGTGTTCATTTACCATCAGGTGATTCGTTCGCTCGATTAATACCAACACCATGAAAAAGGCCAGTCGATATTGAAAATAATTGCCTATTCTTACAGAAAAATATAGAATAGTTCGCGGAGAACACCTGAATGTCGATTCAGTTCCGATCAACTTTCGATCTCACCACTGCATTAAACATGCAATGTTGACTGCAATGTAATTATATCGTATTGTAACCGAAAATTGAATCGTTAATCTGCTTGTCTCAGTAATACTTAACTATTTTACTACGAAAATGTCTTTTGACAGTTGTGAGATCGAAAGTTGATTGAAACTTAATTGTAACCGAACTTTTATTGCGAAAATTCGCCTTCAGAACATATTTCAACGATAAACATTTCAGACATTCAGAAGAAAAAGAATGTTATGTTTAAGCTAGACACTTAGGCTACTAATATAAACCCTAGATACGTTAGCATGAAAGATCCATGTCTTGAACGTCTGTATTTAGATATGTTGCTAGAGAAAACTCATTATCTTTAAAGATACGAATTATAAGTGTTATTATACCCGCAGAAGTAAGATCCACTGGCTACTGTTTTTGTTGCTGAAACAAAACAAAATTAAATGTTCTTGTATTCTCTTTGATTTCTAGCAATGTGGTGTTTAACTTAATACATTCTACGCGACATATTCTTCATTTTAAGATTTATTGCAATCCATACTTATATTGTAAATGTGAAAGCGAGAATGTTTGTTCCTTTGAAAAATATCTGAAAAGATTTACTTTCAGAAATAAATATCATATCATTGCATTTCATTTCATTTGTTTGTTTACACATAAACCTATTTTGGAAATTCATTCACCAATACAAAGCTACATTATCAGGGAGTAACATAGCCTACTTTTTACCGCGATAACTAACATACACACGGGCGTAGCCGCGGGCAAAACTTAAAGAAAATAAGCAGTATAAGCAAAAAAAGGAAGAGAATAACTGGTAGTAAAATTAAAAATTTGACAAGTGGTTAGTGCTTTTGATAATTTTATAAACAACTAGCTGACCCGGCAAACGTTGTTTTGGCAAAAAAAAAAATTTAGGGATGGCTCACCCTTACCATTTAGGGGTATGAAAAAAAGATGTTGGCCGATTCTCAGACCTACCCGATGTGCACACAAAATTTCATGAGAATGGGTCAAGCCGTTTCGGAGGAGTACGGGAACGAACATTGTGACACGAGAATTTGATTTGAGACATGCTCACTTAATTTTTTTCGGATTAAAAGAAGTAAGTTCAATCTAGACATAAAAAGAGAACCATTTTTTGCGATGGTAGTTTTGGAACATAGTGACTTCGGTACTGTCCAATCGTCATTTTCGTAATCTATCAGAGTGTTGTCAACGCGATACCTATTTTACCCAAGTACTGAGACTGTTTAACATATCTTTTTTTAGAAGTAGTACTATTAATCGAATCAAGGAAAACGAACTCAGTAACTTTTAAAAACATCGGCCTAACTTTATTTTTTTAAAAAGACAACTCCCGCATTAGCAATTTATCTTGTGTCGCGGGGAGTTTACAAACATACATGAAACAGACACAATAAACACCCAGACTCAGAACAACAACTTGTGGAGTTTCGTCCCATGTGGGGTTTGAACCCACAACCCTCGGCGTAGTAGGCAGCGGCGTGGTGACCGCTTAAACCACTACGCCATCCGTGCAGTCATACCATAACTGAATTTAAAACTAGTATTTCCTTAAAATTGTAACTGGCTTTGTTTTTATATTTAAAAAGTAATTTGGAAACTGGTTTCATACAACATTGATAATAAAAAACGTGATTTGAGTAGCCAAGAATATTTATATTGATATTACACATCAAATTCACGGCTAAGAGGCCTCAAGATTTTAGTTCCACTTACGTTATAGGAAATAAGTCTATTGCCGTCAATAGAATTTAGATCGGTGAAGAGTGTACCTTTTGTACTGTCCCTGAATTAAGAATACGGAGTGTCCGTGTGGTGACGGATTAAGAATACAGAGTGTCACCACCCCTATTCATCCCGTGGGTGTCGTAAGAGCCGACTAAGGGCGAAAACTACGCAGAACAACAGCACTGCAGAGAGAAGGAAAACTTGACACAAACCCTTTTTTTTTTTTTACATGTGGAAATCCCCTCGGACCGTCACCCCACCGGGGTTTTGCGGCGGGATGGTGTGTCGAACTCGGACCGACTAAAACCACACGGTGTGCCACTCTGCGCCTGTAATAGGAGGGATCCGAGAACAGCTGTTTTTAAGACATCCGGACCCCTCCTAGCGCCGGCCCGCTCCTGTTGCGGGCTCCGTCTCAAAATTTTTTCCTCTCTTTAGGCGACGTCCGGCACACGCGGACGCCGCCCCCTCGCGGCTGGCCAAACTAGTGTGGAGTGGAAGGGAAACCCACCCCGTCCACCCGCGGCCACACTCAGGCGCAGGTGAGCGCGCCTCCGCCGCCCGGTTCGACGGCGGCGGATCGGATCCGAGTGGAGGTCGTCCTCCCGGGCCTTCTCCGCCGCCTCCTTCTGCGAGATTACTTCCTCGCAGAAGGTTGCGACCGCGGTAAAACAACTGTCGCTACCGGCCATGGAGCGTACTACGGCCGGTAGCGAGAGATCCACTCCGATGAGTGCAGTGAGGGCCCGGCGCTGCGTCGCCCATGCAGGGCAGACCGCCAGCGTGTGCTGGGCCGAGTCCTCACTGCAGTCGCAGTGGTGGCAGGCGGGACTCAGTTCCCTCCTAGCGACCGAGTGCAGGTACTTTCCGAAGCAACCGTGCCCGGAAAGCACCTGCGTCAGCCGGAAGTTAAGGGTCCCGTGCTGCCGCCCTGCCCACTCGGCGATGACCGGCTGGAGAGCCTCCACGGCGGCGAAGCCAGCGCGTGGAGTCTCCAGCCGGAACGACCAACGAGCCATCGTGGCTCGGCGAGCGGCTTCGCGCCACTCGCGCACGTCTTCGGGCGGAGGGCGAAATCCGCTCTCCGCCCGGGAGTCAGCCACTCGCCGATAGACTTCAGCGAGCACTGCCGCCTCCAAATCCCACGGGGGAGTTCCGGCCAACGCGCAAGGCACCTCCGTCGAAACGGTGCGGTAACCGCGTATGGCTCTGACCGCCAATACCCTCTGAGGGCGCCAGAGGCGTGCCCTATTCTGGGCGGTCAGAGTAACTTGACATAAACCCTATACCAACCCGTCTGGCCAGCGTGGTATAGTAGGCCAAAACCTCCTTTCTAAGGAGAGGCTTATGTCCAGCAGTGGACTATTAAAGGCTGTTGATGATGATGATGAGTGTTGGTGACACTATTTATTATTTATACACCACTATTTATTCCGTGGGTGTCGTAAGTGCTTACTAAGAGAGCAAACTACGCAGGACATTACAGCACTGCAAAAGAAGGAAAACTTGAAACGAACCCTATACCAATCCGTTTCGCCAGCGTGGTACAGTAGGCCACAACCTCCTTTTTAGAAAAGAGCCCTATGTTCAGCACTATTAAAGGCTGATGATGATGCTGATTAATGAAATAGTTTATTAAAAGGAAAGATAAATGAAAAAGGGAAAGCAAGCGTAGAAAAACTAAAAACCCTGGTGACGCATGGGGTCAGACTATCTACTTTGTACAGAACTCAGATAATGTAATTACCTAAATAAGAAACAATAACGATATTTATACTTTAACATCGATGATATAATTAAACAATACTACAATCAACATAAAAAAACTACTTACCAAAACTAACTAAAAATAAACAAAAAACAAACATTGTGTATCACAAAACATACACCTATAAACTAAAATTTCATGTCAAATCTAGTGTGTACAAAACACAAAACATTATGAGTTCCTAGTTCCTATTCTAACCTTAAACACAGAAATAATATTTATACTGACGATATAAATATCAACAGGTTTTCATTTACTAGCTGATTGGTGATACCTCTTCTGTGATTTAATCTCCCATATTTTTACATATATCTTGTTTTAAAGTAAAGTGACAATTAAAACTACTCGTCAAAACATAAAATATAATCCCAAACTTAAGATGTTAATTGAAGAGGTCTACTATAAACCTAATGACATTCTCACTGAATTACCTCCAAAATGTCAAGTGATAGTACTGTCATTGACAACAGCACTGCAAACAGGAGGAAAACTTGACACAAAGTTCATGTTAAGTTACCAAAGAAATACGAATTTCACATATATACATACATATTTCTTTTCCTTTTTATAAAAACACTCTTGTGTCTTTACAAATATTCAAAGAACGGAAACAAAGAACGTCAAGAAAGAACAAAGAATCGAACCTGAGCTTAACAAACCACTTTAACAATTGCGCTTTCCGTGCCGTTACAAGCGTTCACCTAAAAAAATGGGCAAATGTCTTAAGCTGGCAGCACTGAAGGTGGTTTGCATTTGCCAATTATGTTGATCTTGTGCGTCTCCGGTTATTACGTGTTTTAAAGAGATGACCGCTGACACACAAACACATCTAAGTTAAACAAGAATTAAAAAAACAAAATGGCGTACTATGTGTGAAATATCGCTATGTCGTCACATAATCAAAAACAAAGTATTTAACTAATTACAGTGTTTCATTATGATTTTAATGCATAACATGTGGTTTTCTATACTTTTTGGAATTATTTTCGGTAAGTTTTAGTAATAATAAGTATTATTAAAGTTAAAAAAACATTTTCATTAAAAATTGTATTTATTATTTATAAAATAATGCATAAAATGTCAATTAAACAGTGATTGGCATGCGACAAAATATTTTTTAAACTATTTATTGTGTGGATGTTTGTGTTCTATTCTTTGAATTTAAAAAACAAGGAGTTTTAAATCTGTCGCTATAGATGGCGCTAGTAGTGGTGCAGGGTTTTATTAACTGTGTAAATCACTCAAAACTAGTTTTTTTTTTTGGAGTACATGAATATGGATGATTGCGAATGGTATCATGTTTATTGATTCTCAATTATTCAGCCTTCTTTATAAAACTTAATCAAAAGATCAGGGCAGTGAGTCGTGTTCTGATCAATTCTTATCTAAACTAGCCGTATGTAATAGAATAGTGCAAGCAACATCCTGAAAGGAACGAAATGCACAGATAACATAACATTACATAACCTCTTATTACATTAAACAAGTTAGTTTAAGTCAACATGGTCAAGCATTATCTAAGGTCAACATTATCTAAGGAAAATGTTAAAAACTGGTTGAGTATTGAAATTACTTGAATATATTACGCTGAAAAGAAACTAAAAAGAGCGTAGTTAAAATTATTCTTATTAATATTTATTTATTATATAATTAACAATTTATATGTTTGGGTTGGTTTACACAGAAAAAATATGGAAAAAGACAACTCCCGCACTAGGAACATTCTGTGGGGGGCTTTTGGGCTTTACACACACACATTTACAAACCGGACATAAATAACACACAGACTCAGAACAACAACTTGTGGATCACACAAAGTATTGTTCCATGTGGAGATAGAACCCACAACACTCAGCGCTGTAGCCCTTGTCGAGGTCACACTTGTCCTTTATTTATTTAAACTTCGTAGCTTTATTTTGTGGTGCGTAATGTCACGACAGATAAGGGAACTTATACACTGAGGTGAAATTTTGAAATGTCAGACGTACCACATGAAAAAGCACCTCAGATATGCCATACCTACCATACATATGCATACCTACGAGTATATACCAGCTCTTATTCTATATTTCAATAAAATAAAGTAACCATGTATTATATGTCTATTGCAGTGACTCCTCCAGCCGTAACAAGAGACGCGCGGAACGAAGTCTTCCCTTGCAGGTATTTTTCTAATGGCTTTGAGAAGTTGTACTTCCATGCCACAGATCTACAATATTCAGGGTGTCAAGTCACTAAATATGAGTTCTACAACGCATACATATTTTTTATACTAAATCCCTATTACACAGAGAAATGTTGTCCAGTTGGTATCCTGGTGACTTCTCCAACCACAGAACTGACTTATGGGTGCAAATCCCGGCCACTTCGACCTGCGGCTCATGTCCCGTTTCTTGTCCAAAACTTGCAGTATCCATGACTAACTCTCCCTACCACTATCTGTTTATTTCACTGTCAGCTGTTGCCCGCGGCTTTTTACACCTTTGAGGGATGAAATTTCTGTGAAAATTCTGTGTGTGGAGAAGTTATTTTCTATGCAAAAGATTACAATCCCCGGCACGGTTGGTGTCAAAATTGGCCACTGAGCAGAAAGATGACGATAAGAAACAACCCAACATCACGTGTTTGTTTTTAATCAATTATTTTAATATTTTGTATCCAAAGCGGTATTCATCATCACACATCATCAGCCTGTAATAGTCCATTGCTGAACATAGGCCTCTCCTTAGAAAGGAGGTTTTGGCCTACTATACCACGTTGGCCAGACGGGTTGGTATAGGGTTTGTGACAAGTTTTCCTTCTTTTTGCAGAGCTGGTGTCCTGCGTTGTTTTGCGCCCTTAGTCGACTCTTACGACACCCACGGGATGAATTGGGGTAGTGACATTCCGTATTCTTAATCCGTCACTACACGGACAGCGGTATTGCTAGGCTCTTATCAAATAGAGGTAACACAGCAGACAGTGGAGGTGAGCGCTGACGCGTCCCAAGGAGTACTCCCTAAACTTATACCATGGTCGCAAGTCCCATGCGCTGTCGAAGTCGCATGTATTGCCCACATCTATTACGCGATGGGCCCGGCACCCGCACGGTGAATCCATGGAACGCTAAGAAATAGGTCTAATCAAGTGGTAAAAAGCATACAGCATGAACAAATAGTCAGAACTAATGAAAGTGATAAACCCGATTTGACAAACCTACAAATAGGAAAAGGTACCCTCGGTGCTGAATAAAAATTATACTTATGCTGTGATAGATTAAGGAGCAATTTGATTACAGCCGTGGTGTCAACAGTCTGGATGAATTCAGATGCCAGAATGGAACCGGGTGTGTCAGTGTAAAACATCTGTGTGATGGTGTACCGCACTGCTCTGACACGAGTGATGAGGAGTTTTGTCCTCATAGAAGGTAATTGTCTAATGTTATCATATTTCTAAACTATGCATTGCTTGTACTGTGGGCTCCAGGACACATATAGATATATTTACATATATTTTATCCGGGGCATCACCCGCTTCAATGTCAATTTTGTCAATCAATTTCTACTGAATAAAAAAAATAGGCTATGTACTATACCAGATGTCTGATCGACGTCAGATCTGGGCCTCAATTCTGCTATTTTATGTTTACGCCACTATATGCCACCGATGCCAATGGCCACTCGATGACATCTCAATAGCGTGTCAGTGGTATGGCAGTGGCTTGGCGTGAACATAAAGTAGAAGAATGGAGGCCCTGATCAGCCGTTCTAGGATAATAACAGACATATATACACATACTCTCTCAAATCTAAGCATCTTTATCTGGAGACTATAGTTCAGGCTCTGGTTAGTTATGGACTAGACGGCCGAGTGTGAGGTACCTCAAGTATCTTAAATATTGTTGAAGTATATTTTTTAAATTTTTGGGCATGTGAGAAAGTTGTTACGAAAGTTGTACTTTTGTGGCACCAGAGTCTTAACAATAAATTCCCAAGAAATTTATAAAATATAAAATATAAATTTATTGAATTTCGAATTCGAATGTCGAATTCGAATTTCGAATTCGAATTTCGAATTCGAAAAATTGTTTTGGAACAAAGAGAGCAGCATGTCACATTATAGGGCACATCCATTCCAGTGACAAATAAATAAGTTAACCCGTTTCTATTTTAAAAACATAATTTGGTATATACGCTTTAAACTTTAAATTAACTCGCAAGAACTAATTAGATACCTAGCAAGATATTTTAAAACCTAAATGGGCAATCACTACTCAGATACCTATGAACCATTTTCGATATTATCTTTGAATGCAAATTTTTAAAGTTATAAAAACTTGATTGACATATATAAGATTTTATTCTTAATTGATTTTGTTATAAACTTAATTTCAGGCGTGACCTTCAGACAGAAGACTGGATGTCACACAGAAGAAAGAGACAGACTACGTGCGGGTTATTATTATTTTTTAGTTTTTAATCTATGGCAAACTTATATACGCTTGATTATGGTAAGGGATTACCGGTGTCTATAACCGTAACTATGGCAGTAGTTCCATCATAGGTGATTTTTTAAGTTGTTAAGTAAAAATAGTAAGGAGGATCTTCTTAGGTCTACACGCCGAAGATGGCCCGAGGTAAGAGGTATCGAGGATTTTCTTTCTAGGGTACACCTGGTTCCTCGGCTACTGGTTTTTAGTCGGTTCGAGTCCGACATAACGACTCGGTGGGTGGTATCCGAAGAGATCTCCGCACAGAAAAAAAAAAAGGATCTCTCTATCTAAACTTAGCCAGAATACTTTAATATTTCAGTCAAATCAGTCAAAAGTATAGTCGACTTCAATGCGCTAAAGTTAGAAAAAATTATGATGAACTGTATTCTTCGTTTAGTTTTTTCTTTACATGGAATCAGCCTTCAACACAATCAATTAAAACAATTATTGAAATAGGTTTATAAACAGTGTAGATCTTGTTTAACTTTCAAACATAAGAAAACAGAAAGGTCATTTTTGAAATCCCTTAAAAATAGTGGATTCCCTACATTTATCCTGGAGTGCGAGCTAATTTCATTAACTCGATCTTCGATGACGACAGCGTTTGGCGTTGCTATTGCCCGCACTGAGGGCCAAATGGCCCGCACTGAGGGCCAAGTGGCCCGCACTGAAATCTCCACCAATCGCAACGCTAAACGCGCTCGCCGTCGAGAGCGAGGCGATGTGAAATAAACTTGCACTAGATCCCCTGAAGTTTGAGGCCCGAAAAACAAAGCATAAAAGTCCTCTGTACTAAAAGCGTGTCAACGTTCTGAAAGGATCTAAGCTGGCTCAATATGTCTTTATCTTTACTCCTGAAAACGCTATAGAGTCAGTAGTTAAGATTTGTAACCAAAGAAGAACTCACTTTCAGATTTATATTAGTTTCTTTTTCTTTTTTCTCCTCCAGGAGTGATCAATGGAAGTGTCTCGACGGGAGCTGTATATCATTAGACAATATATGTAACGGAGTGGACGACTGTACCGACCGAAGTGATGAAACGCACCCCTTCTGTAAGAAACTATTATCGTAAGTGATGCCTATAAATAAATACATACATATGTATATATGTGTGTATATCGGTTATCGCAGAAAAAAGGTTTTAGTTGTCTGTGTTACTCGCTGATATTGTAGCTTTCCATTGATAATAGAATTTTTGAAACTGTTTTAGTTATTTAGGCGTGAAAGCGTAACAAACAAATAATATCACTTTCACATTTAAATTATAAGTATGGAAGTAAGGATAATTATGGAAGTATGGATGGTGTTAACTCATTTAATAGGGACAAACCTACTGCCCAAAACGGGCACTTTAAGGGCTGTGGCTCTAGCTATTGGTTACACTTCTCATTCTACCTATCCAACAATTGCCTTCCTATCTTACCAACTTTTCTTTTCCCATTAAACTTCCAATTTACCCATCTAATTCCTTAAGTACCCGATTAACGGCAATAGGCTTGCCCACTCCTCAACTTGAATACCCGTGTTTTGCAGCCTATAATTTTAAACTCACTGCTTGTCCGTTCAAGGATATAGGCATGAATATATCTACAGCATTTAACGTGACACATTTTCTGAAGGGTATTCGGGTCTTTCCTTTGAATGATAATAACACTTTTCTTGTACACAGCATTATTTAGACAAAACTAGGTATGCCTTGTATGAGTATGAACATCCCTAAGAGGAGTTTCTTTAAATGGATGCCTGTGTCACAGAAGAAACCTAACTATACTAAATAGAGATAGGAACCGAATAAGAAATACACATTAAAAATCTCTGATTAAAGATTAACAAAATCCGGTGGCTGTATTCTTCCACCATATCCTACACATGGGAGTTATGAAGTCTCGAAATTGCCCAATGCTCGCCCTGGCCAGGCTCTCGATTCCTTCGTGCTGACAGTTACCTGTCGACGAGGATTTGGAATAGTACACCCCGATGGGGGGGATGGAAGCGGCACGCAGCAACTCTATTGCGTAAATGGAGAATATCAGTACCAGACCATGCCAAGATGTGTTCGTAAGTTTCTCTGTTTGATGATAGTAAAAAACTCAATAACTAGCATCCATTGGTGATCTTTCTAAGCATAAAATGGGGGTGGAGGGTTCCTAAAAATCTTACGTCAACTGAAGGGTCACGTAAAATTTCTCAATCTCACATCCACTTTTAGCAATATTAGTCTTGAGGATAAGTTATTTAGAAATTAAGTAAGTTTTTTTTTATCATATAAAACCATCAATACAAGGAATATTGAAACATAACACGATAAACCACAAAGGTTGGTGGAGTATTACACAGACAGTCAGTATCGCAAATTTACATTTTCTTTTTAAAGGCAGATATACTATCCTTTTACGAGTATTAGCGTATTACATCACTTAGAGAACTAGATACAAACAAAACCATATGCAAAATGTAAACGGTCTCATCCGGATACTTAACCGTATAACTTTATAACTATAATAAAATATTTATTTTCAGGTTTTTGCAAACTTAATCCAGATCCAAGCGTTCGATATACGTGTCATGTACCAGGAGTGGGATTCAAAACGTGTAAAAACTATGTAGCTCCTGGCACACTGGTGAACCCTATATGCAACAGCCCTATATACTACACCACTGAAAGCTTGCCATATATGAAGTGTAATTTTGGATACTGGGACTACGTCGCACAGTGCAGAGCAGGTTTGGTCACAATGTAACCTTTTTCAAACTTGGCTCAAAAGTCCAAGTGAGAAGTAATTAATCCGGGATAATTGATTAAAAGTGTAGGTGTGTTTCATTCATTCTCTTTCTCTTTGTAGAATGTGGTCGGGTAACTCCTGAAGGCACTCAGCTGGTGATTGATGGAAAACCAGCCAAGCGAGGTGAACTGCCGTGGCACGTTGGCATCTATCGGAAGATCACTTCACCGTACCTGCAGATCTGTGGTGGGACTCTTATCACCAATAATGTGGTTTTATCTGGTAAGCTTTTTTAAAATGTTATAGCATAATTATATACACTACATAAAAAACTACGTAAAATCTGGTATCTTATTCTCAACTTCAGCGTCTGCATTTCCAGGACTTTATTTCTTCAAATGAGTGTGGATATGAATATTTAAATCAACTGTCTAAAAATCAAGCATTGTGTACTTTGATTGTATCCCAAAAGACTTAATAATACTTCTAAAATAGTGCCTATCGAAAGCACAGTATTTTAGAAATTATAATTGACTTTAAACAATTATCACCGAATTCAATGCGCCAACGTAGTATAGAAGTACAGATAATATTATTTTTTTCCTTTCCGTCTCTTAGCTGCCCACTGTTTTTGGAGTGATCTGAAAAAGAAACTACCAGAATCTGATTTCGCTGTCGCAGTCGGCAAGCTCTACCGGGATTGGGACAGTGAGAATGACATTGGCGCGCAGAAATCTGACGTAAGAACTTAAAGCCAACTCATAAATATTATAAAACAAACGTAACGTTACACATGTCACACAAGGCTGTCTGATTCCAAACTAGACAGAATCTATACTATTTTAAGCAGACTTTACTAGCTTACCATAGTACAGATTCTGTCTAGTTTGGGATCAGACAGCCTTGTGTGTAACAGCCTTCTAAATACATACATATTATTGATAAATTACAAGCTTAGCAGTCAGGGTCACTAACCAACAGTCTAATCAAAATGTTTTTAATTTAAAAATACGAGTATTTGAGAACAAAAGCGTGATAAAACTGTACCTTTTAAGAAAATAGGTATAACATCCATAATGACATACATTCCACATTTAAAAAGACTTTTAGATGCTCTCTGAATTTTCTTATAACCTTTCCCTTTTTTACACTTGGAAACCACCAAGAAGCATAACATCATCATCACAACCGGGATTAACGCAAGCTGGCGTTAACAACAGCTAGGGTCTCAAGTTTCGCCTAGGAAGACAATAACAGTGAGACCTGATACACCTGGGATGCCTATTCACTAACTGGGTAATCTTCCTGTGAAAGGTTAAGACTTTACATCCTTAATAAAAAAGCACGCAGAAATCACCAGGTCACTTTCTTAATGCTTCTGATGATTTTTTATTTCTCTAGTACCGAGTGTTTCTATACGAGTAATAGAGATGACAGAGTAATAATGACATTTCTTTCATTCCCTCCCTGCCGCTTCCTGAGAATAATTGTTTTGTAATTCTGTTTACAGCTTCTGGAAATTAGGATCCCAAGTCGATTCCAAGGTGCTGAAGCTAACTTCCAAGAAGACATTGCCGCTTTGATCCTGAAAACTCCTTTTGTGTACATGACTTACGTACGACCCGTGTGTGTCTACTATGACGTGAACTTTGAGAGGATTCAGTTGCGGCCAGGGAACGCAGGAAAGGTGGGTCCTGTATACTCCTGTCTGATATACGTACTTAATTTAGTTCCATTTTGAGTCAGTAACTCCAAAAATTTGAAAAACGTATGAGAAACGGATACAGGTGTACAGAAATCTCCCTTCTCTATTATTTCCATGTATTTACAACAAGTAACTACTACAAAAATGAGACTGACACTGCCATGCAGGATAATGTAAAGGGTTCTAATATATATTTATATATATATATATATACACCTGAACTTCCCTGAATAAAGAGACTCACATACAAACTCACATACATGAAAACCTCTGTGCTGATAATACTACCATTATGGTGTAATTTTGTCCGCGTTCTAATACACCACATTTTTGCGAAATAAGTAGCCTTTGTGTTAACACACGTCAAGTTTCGCCTAGGAAGACAATAACAGTGAGACCTGATACACCCAGGATGCCTATTCACTAACTGGGTAATCCTTCTGTGAAAGGTTAAGACTTTAGATCTTTAATAAAAGCTACCTTCATACCAAAGTTCATCAAAATCGGTTCAGTCCTTTGAGCATGAAGAAAAACACACACTCACACACTTTCGCCTTTACAATATTAGTGTGATTTTGATTTCAACTAAGGTGGCTGGTTGGGGGCTCACATCGGCCCAAGGAACGGCTGCGAACCTTCTCCAGGTTATTGAGATGCCTTTCATCAACGTGGACACCTGCATCAATACTATTCCTCAGTCCTTCAGAGAATACATAACTGGAGATAAATTCTGTGCAGGATATACCACTGGTGGGTAAACCTTAACAAGTAATTAATAATCTTTGAGTCGATATATTCTGTCTTATCCGTGTTATGGCGGATTCAGAATACAGTGTGTCATCACCCCTGTTCATGCCGTGGGTGTCGTAAGGGCCGAAAAAGGGAGCAAACTACGCAGGACAACAGCACTGCAAAGAGAAGGAAAACTTGAAACAACCTTATACCTACCCGTTCGGCCCGCTTGGTACAGTAGGCCAAAACCTCCTATCTAAAGAGAGGCCTAGGTCGTAGATAGGTGTGAAATGTATATTGGAAACGGTTTTGGCTGGTTTCCTTCAGGATCCGTGAGATTACCAGAGGACTAACCCAATTTCCAATTCTAGAAAGGGGTACTTAAAAACCGGCACCACTCTTTAGATTCTTGAATTGCAGATATTCTATGGCGGTGGTATTTACGTACCATCAGGAAGTTTCTTCAGGTTAACCCTCCCCCCTACCCCGGCCATTACCATAAAAAATGACTATATTTTGTACAAAAATATGTGATGACTTTACAAGCTACACGTACACGTACAGAACATATGAGGACCTGTCATGATACGTAAAGTTTAAACCTTAACGGTTCCACTTATACTGGTCACAATATTTTGGTTCAAATATTGCGATTAAGTATTTCTTGCTTTGAGTCTAAGCAGTGCTGTGTAATATTTCCCAAAATACTATTACATCTTCAATTGCTCTAAATGTAGTATCATCCACAGGTAAGGCTTTATGTAAAGGAGACAGTGGAGGAGGCCTGGCCTTCCCAGATAGAGGACTAGGAGTTGACAGATATTACCTGAGAGGTATCGTGTCTGCAGCACCCAGAGATGACCAGAAATTGTGCAATGATAATACTTATACCACATTTACAATGATCACGAAGCACCAGGATTTTATTAAAGAGTATATAAAGGTTTTTATATATAAATTGCTTAAGAGAGTGTGATATTGTCATTTGGGAGGACAGAAGTAGGAAGGATCATGTCAAGAGTCCGTGTGTGGTGGAACGAGTTTTATTTCTCTCTAACACTAAGGGAAAAGGAGGATTTTACAGTGGGAGTAAGATCGGACCGCGGCCGGCCAGGCATGATCACCTTGCCTCCCTTTATTATAAGTCTTAAGTTTATATTGAAAAAGGTTGAAAGATTTAAAATAGAAAAACAATGCATAATTAAATATCATCAGCGAAAGTCGCCATATTTAATTTAATTGCACATTATATATATTTTGTTAGGAATCCGGTTTCTTTTATCAGTATATAGTTTGATGAACTGATTTTGATTTTTAAACGACTTCAAAAAAGAAGGAGCCTCTCAATTTGATTGTGTTTATGTTTGTTACTTCAGATCTCCGCCACTCAAAAACCGATTTCAATATTTTTTTCATTTGAGCCCATTCAAATTTGAAGAAAAAACACCACTTCTAAGGCACCAAATTAAGGATACAGTTTATTATATTTCTTGGTCGAGCGTCGGTGATACTTTTTCAAAAGTTCATTATTTCAGAGCGCTTGCGGCAAGTGCTGTACACAGATGCCCACAATACTCTTTCCAGTGTGATGATGGATCATGTGTAGATCAAGGCAGTGATTGTAACGGGGTAAGTTATTTTTATGATATTTACCCCTTTAAACGAGCTGATAGGTCACCTTCACTTAGGTGCACTTAGGTGCACCTTCAACTGAAGTATTGACGGCGTTTGTGGTGTAAGTACGCTCTTTTCTTAAAGGTTTGTCTGTCGTCTCGATCTGAAAATACTGCAGGCGACAACGTTTATCAGAACTAGTTGTACGAAGTAAAATGTTTTCAAAATCAGTATGTGGTATTTGAAGTGAAGTGAAGTAGTTTCATAGGGTTTGGCATGATCGCCACGCTTAGCATGCGGGTTGGCGATCGCAGTGAGACGGTTCTGATGATGATGATGAAGTAGTTTAGTTATAGTTGATGAAATGCCAATCATCCGAGTGATTGGGATGGAAGTTCTGAGATGTTAATAATTTAGCCAACAAAAATAGTACATGCTTGGAAGAATCACCTAGTTTTACTACAAAATAGTTAATTCATTTATTGAAAAGTTTCCATTTATTTTGTTAACAGAGACAAGACTGCGCGGACGGGTCTGACGAGTCTGATGAACTTTGTAAACCAGGTTTTGTAAAACCAACTTCACTGCCGATACCAGAACCTAGTCCTTTAGCCATACCTGTCACGAAACCACCATCTAGCTCTGACCTGAACTCTTTGCTAGCGTAAGATCTTATTCACTATTTATTGCATTAACCAAAAGTTAAAAGAAAAGCAGCAAGACTTTCTCAGAACTGCTTTATTGCTACTGTCCCGACATAAGGACACAACCAAACATTGGTTCGTATAGAAGTTCAAGGAATAGGTAACTTTTTGCTAAAAAGTATTATACTCAGCTCAAAGGATTATTCACCAAGTATTTGAGTACGATTCTATTTTATAAATTCGAGAGGTGTCCCTTTTTAGCCAAGTAGGATTATGGGTCGAAACCACCACCCAGGAAAAAGGATAACCTGTAAAGCTACTAAACCTGGTTCCAATCCATGTATTCTTTTTTCCATTGAAATTTCAGTCCAAGTTCAAAGATTTCCATGTTGATTTTTTTTTAAATTAAATTTGCCGAGAATCTGGTCTAAAAATTACATGTACCAAATTGCATGGAAAATAATACAGAAAATACAAATTTGGTTTAATTTTATAGCATTCCAAACTTTATCCAAAGTTCAGAGTGTGTACTCAAAAACCACCATCATAACTATCTTCTTCCCTTTCTCCAATTTTATTTGAAGCCGTGACTCTGTGTACAATCGCAATGGGTTTGCTGGTTCCTTTTGACCTGCCAGATGCCAGATATTTTTGGTAATGCAAAACGATTCATCATCATCATTGATGCTGATGAACCGTTTTCTGACGGGACAAAAGTAGAAGTTTACTCAGGATAAAAACAACGGATGAGGGTGCTTGGATTAAGAATACTTTAAGACCCTAATTTGGAGACGGACTAACCTCCAGTCGGTCGAAGGGGCCAGCCATCCAGTGATTGATAGGACCTCTAGGACATCAATGGGCCATCACTCAATTTATCTCAGAAGCCACCAAAAGAGTTTTAAATATAGAAAAAATGCTTTTAGAACCGAATCCTGCATTCTACCACCATATCCAGATTATGGAACTTACGAAACCAATATTCCAATAAGTGACCCTGGCCGAATAATTTTTGGCTCTGTGACTTTGATTGTGACTTGTCAGCAAGGTTACGGGATCGTGACGTTGGAAGATGGTGCGATCAAAAATAGTACAACGATACACTGCGTTAAGGGAAATTGGAATCAAAGTATAGTTAATAAATGCGTTCGTAAGTACTTATACATACTATTTATTTTTAGGAAAAGTAAGAAAAAGTCTTTAAGATAACCAGATGTCAGTCCTTTGAGTCCCATCTACCAGAATTACGGAGATGGGACTCGGGTAGCCTAACTCACTCGGCGAGAAACAACGAAAAAATAGTTTTACAACTGTTTTGTATAAGACCGTGGTATGCCAGCCACTGCCGCCTCGTTGGTGCATTAGGTAGCATATGAGTCTGCTGTGCTGAGGTCTCGGGTTCGATTCCCTAGTCGGACAAAATGTTTGTATGATCTGCAAATATACGTTGCGCAGTTTCGGTATTTTCCATGTATAATATATATGTATTTAAAAGAAAAAGTATATAAGTATTCTAACAGTCAATCTAACTTTAATTGTACAAGCTGCCTTTAGTTTCAAACTAGATGGCGTTGTGTGTAGATGTCCGAAATATTTATTTCATCACTCCGGTCAAGCCGGCACATTTTACCGATTTTACCGATTCTGATTCGATACCGATCGTAATACCCGTTGCTTACAACGTGTATACAGGGACGTGTAAGGGACGTCGTAACGAATACTGAAATAGTATATTCAGACCGTCATACTGAGTCGAATATTATTGGAATTTTCTGCCGGAAAATTCATCATTTCTTTTTTAAATTTTTCATGTTTTTGGTTGAAAGTGATGAAAAAATATATCACAATGAGTAAATAGAACGTTTGACCCAAAATAATTTAATAAATACCGCCTACGGTCAAAAACTGCAATGTAATTAATGTAACTGCCAAGGCGCGCGGGGCTTCCTCCTCGTTCGCCATCTTGAGATAGTGTACGTAGACTGTTTGCAAGGAATATAATAAATATAGTAATTACTTTTGTGCGATATCTACGGGGAATAACTTTAACCTTTGACAGCTGATTGCATGAAACGAAAAATCTCAATGATTTTCGACTCAGAATGATGGTCTGAATGTACTATTTCAGTATTCGTTACGACGTGCCCTACACCCTTTATACTTGACATATCCTCACTGTGTGTAAACAAATAAATTTATAACCATGTTTTGTTATTTTTAGGAGTCTGTAGGTTAGTTCTGGATTCCAGTATTGATTCCAACTATAGTTGCCTAGCAACAGCTGCTACAGGATTTAAGCCTACACAATGTGACGAGTATGTTACCTCAGGAACTGCTGTTTCCGTCAGCTGCAAAAGTCCAAACTATTACTCCGACAGAGAACTGCCACACATGAGATGTATATCTGGCTATTGGGACTATTATCCTAGATGTAAAGCAGGTATGCTCATAAACCTGATTGTGTTAAAAATATTATATATTTCCAAAAAATTTAATAAATAAACTGCCGCGAAATTGAGGCGCGATGGATTCAGGTTTTAGCAGCTCAGTTAAAAAAGCAAATTACTTACACAATTGACATCATATCCTGCCAATTTTTTTTACCTGGTATTATCGAAGCCTAAGTTATGAGGGTTTGAAAAAAACGACGAAGCGGCTCGAGAAAAGGTAGGCAGGGTTAATAATAATAATAATAATAATAATAAACTTAAACTTAAACTTGTATAAACTTCTAACATCTATTCTGAGACTCAAAATTACTTTACATATTAATAATAATTCGATTATGTCAGTTTCTCAGAATGGATGTAGAAGTGGGACCCGTGGCACTAAAGACCTCCTTATCATAGACATGACCATTAGCCAACAGGTACGTTGTAATCGTAAGAGTTTGGCGACGTGTTGGATAGATTATAAGAAGGCTTATGACTCGGTTCCACACACATGGCTTTTGAAGGTGCTGGAGTTGTATAAAATTGATACAACTCTGTGCACTTTCTTGAAGTCATGTATGGGGCAATGGAGAACGGCACTTCGCTATCCAGGATGTCGGCAGACAGCGATACACGATGTACTAATAAAGATCGAGCGGGGTATATTTCAAGGTGATAGTCTGAGTCCCTTGTGGTTTTGTCTGGCTTTGAACCCTCTTAGCACTTTATTAGAGGGTTCAGGGTTAGGCTATAGGTTGCAGAAAGATGATCAAGTTATATCTCACCTTCTTTATATGGATGATTTGAAACTGTTAGCCTCCAACAAATTACAATTGACAAAGTTACTAAAGGTGACGGAAAACTTTAGTAATTCTATCAAAATGGAATTTGGTGTAGACAAGTGTGCAGTCATGTATGTAAAGAAGGGTGTGATAGTTGAATCTGAAGGAATAGAGCTTTTGGATTCAACAAAACTCAGATCTCTGTCTGCCACTGAAACTTACAAGTATCTGGGTATATCACAGTCGTTGGGAATACCAGAATCTAACATGAAACAAACATTGCAGGAACGCTTTTTTGGCCGCTTGAAAAAAGTACTTAAAAGTCTTTTATCAGGGGGCAACAAGGTGCGAGCCTGCAATGGTTGGGTCATGCCGGTTCTAATGCATTCCTTTGGTATACTTAGATGGACTCAGACCGAATTAGATGCCCTTGACAGGAAAGTCCGCACACTGCTGACTGCATCCCGAATGCACCACCCACGTTCATCAGTTATGAGATTGTATATCCCGCGAAAGCTTGGGGGTCGCGGTCTATTAAATATCAAGACCCTACATAATCGCGAGGTATGCAATCTCAGAGAATATTTTCTACATACCGACGTGGGAGTGCATCGCAATGTAGTTGCAGTGGATACCGGCTTCACCCCGCTCGCTCTGGCTAAAGAGAATTGGCGCAGACCTGTAGTACTTGGTGTTAATGATCGCAGGGAAGTATGGAAGGGCAAAGAGCTCCATGGTCGGTTTTATCGGGCCCTAAACGGGTCCGATATAGATTTAAAAGCATCTACGACTTGGCTACGGCATGGTGATCTCTTTGGAGAAACTGAAGGTTTTGTTTGTGCGATTATGGACGAAGTTATCATGACGAATAACTATCGGAAATATATCCTGAAAGATGGTACGGTTGACATCTGTCGGGCATGCCACCGTCCTGGCGAATCAATCAGGCATATTATTTCTGGTTGTTCTCGTCTTGCTAACGGAGAATATTTGCACAGGCACAACCAAGTAGCCAGGATCGTACACCAACAGCTTGCCCTTAAATACCATCTTGTGAATCTAGAGGTGCCATACTATAGGTATGTGCCCGACCCAGTTCTCGAGAATGGTCGGGCCACGTTGTATTGGGATCGATCTATTATCACAGACAGGACTATTGTTGCCAATAAGCCTGATATTGTGTTGATAGATCGATTAGAGCGCCGCGCAATGATTGTTGATATCGCCGTTCCTCATGACGAGAATCTCGTGAAAGTTGAAAAAGAAAAACAAATTAAATATTTGGATTTATCTCACGAGATTGTCGATATGTGGAATGTTGATTCAGTGATCATTGTTCCGATAGTCGTATCTGCTCATGGATTGATAGCCAAGAGCCTCGACCAACACCTTAAGAGGCTCACGTTGGATGGCTGGATCAAGGGTCTGATGCAGAAGGCAGTCCTCCTTGACACGGCTCGTATAGTGAGGAGGTTCCTATCTTTGGAGTCCTAACCACCGGTGTCTTGGTCCCTGTACCCGATGTCGGTGGTCTACTATTTTTTATATTTTTAAATGTATTTTTTTATAAAGTGTATATTTAAAAATGTAAATAATATGTATATAAAGTAAATAAAGAGAATAATAATAATATATTTATTTGTCAGAATATTGTTGAGGTACAGGTGTTAGACATAATATGACATCCATAATATTCTGCTGTTTCCAGCGTACAAATATTTTCAGGAAGGATTAGTAAATACAATGTCAAGAATTATTATATATATCGAAACAGAATTTGGGTTCGATTTAAAAAGTAATGTAAAACCGTTGACCTTTATCAAGGTCAAGGCTCTACAGTCTTTATTTAAGCTAAGAAGGTAATAACGATTAAATGAAACATAAAACAGTTAAGGAGTTGAGACTTGTTTTTAATAGTTATTTCAGTAATGTTTGGGGGGTAGGTGAAATTACGTCTGTTCGCTAAGGAATTACCATTATGAGAAGAACAGACAAGAAACTCATAAGGTTTTCTTTTTCAACAGTCAAACATTATTACAATTTCATTTACTTCAACTAGAAAAACTTAGAAAGTTAATACTCAACATTTAAATAACTATTTTTCAACACTATTTCTTAACAAATTGACTTTAACTCAATAACTATCGAAATAATAGCAAGACACTAATTTGATTTGGAATCCGGGCAGAAATTGCACAAAGGTTCAACACTCACTTGTTTTCCCGCTCAAAATCCGTCACAGACTCCCTCTCAATAATGTTTTTCAAGCCCACCTGCCGCCACTCTGGCGGCAACGTCTAGTTGCGCGTCAAAACGGAGGCAGATGGCGCTAACGTATTTTCGTAATATTAAATTTACCACAAATAACCATATTAAGAATTCCAAATCAAGCCTTAATTATTTAAACAATATTACAAATAAGTTCTGATAGTCTAAAGCAATCAAAACATTTAAAATAGTAAAAACAACTTACATTGAAAGTACTCACAAAGACTTGCATCAAATTAACTCACCAAATTTAAAACTTCACGTTAATACAGTATTATGAATTACAATCTTGTCTAAAAATTCTAATTAGATTTTAGAGAGTGAAATTTATAATCAAAAATAATCAATAACAATAATCAATTTAATTAATTTCCGGCGCCTCCAAAACTCCGCGGCGACACGGCCATACTGCGAGGCGAGACGTGCTCAGGATCGCTTGATTCTGAAAATAGGAAAGTAAATTCTTTTGAAGCTAGGCACTTCCACAGTACACCTAGTATTACAATTTACGGAAAGAGGCGCTCTATGATAACTCTTAGTAGGAGTATTGCTTATTGGACGGCTCCACACGCCAATAGCAATTTTAAGATAAATTATTCCCTCCGCGGAAAGCATCACGGGGGATTGGACTTATCGGACGGCTCCACACGCCAATAGTCCTTTTTACACACTATTTTTAGTCGAAGTCAAAGTCATGAAAGTCCTAATGTCAAAATTATGATATAGTGTGCATAGAGGTATCGTTTGTATTCATGTACATTTGGTGCGTATATTCGCACGTGTGTGTGATATGTGTGCGAGTGTGTGCTTGAAGAGCACAATATATTGAAAAACCCTCACCGGGAGAAATAGGTTTATGTAGACTCGGCGTCGCTGTCCTCTTCCAGGACAGCGGGGGTGGTGACAGCCTTTGATGGAGCCTCAACTCCAGGTGCTGGTGCCAGGTGTTCGTCTGGGGGCGACACGGCCGCCTGGGTGCCAGTTGGTTGTGGGGCGCGCCGCAGTTGGTCGTGCGCGACCTTGCGGGGTCGACCCTGATGTCCCACGACCTTTTTGACAAGGTAGCGGTCGTTCTCGAGCACTCTGTGAACTTCGTATGGAACGCTAAATTTCAAGTCTAAAGAAGTTTGATTTCTAGGGTTATTTTTAATTAGGACAAAGTCGCCTCGTTGAAAGTTATGGACTTTGGCACGCCCTCTATCGAACCTGTCCTTGTCCTTTAAAGCTATTGCAAGCATTCTTTGCTGCACATGTCGTTCTAAAGCTTCAGCGTTGACTAGAGCTTTGTCGATGTCGACTAGGTTCAGCAACTCTGCAGGCACGCAGTTCTGGCGACGAGTGAGGAGTGTTAATGGCGCAGTCCCAGTAGTTCTATGTACCGTACAGTTCATGGCGAGCTGCAGACTCTCGAGCGCTGTATGCCAGTCCGGGGATTCGTAATTTTTTATTATTACAAGACCGTTCTTAAGAGTTGCCATGACTCTTTCGACTTGTCCGTTTGCTCTGCTAACACCTGGTGATATTGGATGAAGTTCAATACCGTACCTGTCACAGTAGCTTTTATAGTCACCCAAGAACTCGCGCCCGCCATCTACTATGATTTGCCGCGGCGCTCCGAAAAGATGGATGACCTGTTTCAATGCGGCAAGAGAGCTGTGTTGACTTTTATCATTAGTGTGACGGAGTAGCACGTATTTCGTGTATGCGTCTATTGTAACTATAACATACTCTTGATTGTTTGGAGAACCAAGTTTCCCAGTAATGTCCATGTGTATTACTTCGAAGGGTACTGTTGGTTTGGGAATGGGGTGTAGTTGGACCTGATTAGCTCCCGATGTCTGTTTCGACGTTTTGCATACCACACAATTGTCGATAAAATCCCTGACACTGGTGTTCATCTTGTCAAAATGATAAGACTCTCTGATTTTGTGCAGAGTCTTCTCCCATCCTGCATGTTG